GTGCTTGAAAGCATCACGCTGAGTTAAAGAAGCCGGCTCCCGAAGGCCACACACAGTGCGTGACCCCATTTCTGGGAAATGGCCGGGACGGACCAAGGACGGACAAGACCGATCGGTGGCGATGGGAGTCAAAGGAGTGGTTAACCTGGGGGGGGGGCGGGGGAGGGTGCCGGGGGACAAAGGGAAGCAAAGGGATTCTCCCCGGGCCTCCGATGTGGCCCCGGGGAGCCGACCTTGGGCTGGTGACCTCCAGAACTGCACAAGAGCGAGGCCTGTTCTAAGTCACCGAGGTTGTGGTGGTTTGTTAGAGCGGCCGCGGGAAATAAGAACAACTTTTGGTATCTGGAAGGAGGGGGCTGCCGCGACCAGCACCTAAAACCGCGAAGGGGCCTTCCGAGTCGGACAACAGCAAAGACCTGGCCATCGGAGGTGAGTCCCCGGGAAAGTGCGCCTGGAGCGCGTGCAGCCTGCGAGGTGCCCCCTCCTCCTGCCCATTTGGTGTCGCACGTCCAGAACGAGGCAGCCCGGCTGGTCACTCAGGGACGATGACGGTCCTGGACGGCTCCGTCTCCGAAAGTCTGCTCCGTGTTTCCTTAGCGCTCCAGGGCCCGCCCCCCCCCAACCCCCCTGATGCGGTGACAGGCCCCCAGGCGGGAGGGACCACCTCCTCGGCTCTTGCGCACATTTCCCTGGGGGTGGCTCGAGGGGCCTGTGCAGACGGGGAGACTGGGGGTGGTGTCCCACTTCCTCTGCCCAGTCCCCAGGGTTTCCCCCTTAGGCAATGTCAGGTTTTTTGTTTTTTTTTTTTTAAACTTTAACTGTTGGCTAATTCCCAGCGAGTTACAAAGCTGGTATGGAGCGGTCTCACCTGCCCATCACCCACTGTCTCTTAGCGGCCACATCTCAGGGACAGAGTCACATGCACTGTCTGATCAGGTCGTTGGCGTCGGTACAGTGTGTGTGTGGGGGGCGGGGGGGCGGGGTAGGGGTGTGTCATCTTATCACCACGTCGTCTCGTTATCTGTCCACCTCATCTTATCAGCAACCCTGCAGTGTAGATCCGGAACCGTCCGTCGCCGCAGGCACCTGCACCTTTCTGCCGCCGCCCCTCAGAGTCGCACCTGCTGGCCCCTGCCCAGCCTTCCTGAACCCCAGGCAACCGCCGTTCTGCTCCCCACCCTGTGCTTCTGGCGTTTTGAAGTGCTGTGTCCTTGAACCCCGCACTGTGCGACCTTTAGGGACTGCCCCCCTCCCCCAGCACAGTGCCCTTGGCCACCCATACAGGCCGCTGCCCCGGCCAGTTTCCCTCACTTCCGTGGCCGGTAACCCACAGCCCCGGGCGCACAGGGTTCACGTCCCCTCACTCACTGTAGGACTCCTGGGTTGTCGCCACCTTCTGGCGACGGCGAGCGGTGCCGCGGTGCGTGTCCGTGCATCTGTGTGCCTGCGCGCGGCTTCCGTGTGGTTCTGACTTGTCATCCTGGGCGCACGGACAGGAGGGGAAGTGCCGGCCCCTGCGCAGACCCCGGGCTCGGCTTCTTGGGGAGCCACCGGTGCGCCAAAGCGGCTGCACTTTCTTGCCTTTGAAAAGTGAATTCTTTTCCGTCTTCTCCTTTGGGTTGAGACAGTTACTTTGCAAAATTGTCAAGGTGAAGGCTTAGCTCGTTGTTTTGAACTTCGCTGTCGCCTAGAAGCAGCGTTTTGAGTGGCGGCCTTCTCGGCCCGCCTTAGCTGGGGCCTGCAGGGGTCCATGCGCAGTGACTCCACCCTCCTCCTCCTCCTCTTGGTGTTTCCCGGCTCATGGTGCGTCCCCTCGGGCCCGTGCATTGCTTAGAACTGCGTCCCTTCCTTTCCAAACAAGTGGGATTTCCTCCCTTCATCTGCCCTCGGCTCAGAGCGCCTGGTCTTTGCGACGGCAGTTGTTTCGGTGAGAGTTCTGCCCCAGGCGCGCGGAGCACGTGCGTGGAGGGCCCGGCACCCCCGGGAGCCAGGGTGCTTGCAGGGTGCTGCCCTGCAGAGCGAGAGGAGTGCGCCCGGCCTGGCCTCCAGAGTGGAGCCACTGCAGGAAGTCCTCCCGGCGGCCCCGGGGGTCGCTGGGTTCCACGTGCGGGCCCCGGCCGGGGTGGGGCCCACACGTCTGAGTCGGGAAGTCCTGCTGCCCCAACGCTTCTCCTCCCCGAAAGCTGGAGAAGGAGCGCGAGGACGCCCTCCCAGGAAGTGCTCCGCGACTGGGGAGGACCCCGGCGTCCCTCCCCTCGGCTCTGAGCGGTCGCGGGGGCGGAGCCTGCTTGGTCTGCAGAAGCCCGGCTGTGAGAGAGCTTTCCAGAGACGGCATGGGTGGGTCTGGGGAGCTCTATGCCAAGTGAAACAACCCGGACAGACAAATGCCTTACCATCTCCCTTGTATGTCAGATGTAACGAACTAACCGAAGTAACAAGTGAAACGGAGACAGAAACGTAGCACAGACCGACACCTGCCCGAGGGGAGGGGCCCGGGGGCTGGGCGGGAACCGTTGACAGGACTAAGGAAACCGTTATCGGTGTGAAACAAGGACTGCGACAGCGTGGTGATTGCCGGAGGGACAAGGCGGGCGGGGGAGGTGGGCAGAAAGAGTCTTCGCTTTGGGCGACGGGCACACGGTGCCGGGTGCAGGCGGTGTTTTGTCGAGCGGTAGGTACATCGGGAGCCCGTGCGGTTTTGCAGACCAATGTCAGGCCAATTAACTAACTAACGGAAAGAATAAATAAAGTCGCCTCTGCTTTATGTACAGCCAGACGCCTGCAGAGGCTGAGCAAGGGCAGGGCACGGCGTCCGCCACCGTGGCCCTGTGAGGTTGGCAAAGACCGTCTGCGTGGGCCGGGCGGCCCCAGGACAGCACGGGTGCGGTGGGGGAGGGGGTGGCTGCTGGGCGCCCTGATCTGACCGGGTCTGGCCCTGTCAGTGACAAGATGCAGCGTTATTCTATGTTCTACTTGCAAGGCAAAGGCTGCCAGAAAAACCCAGACTTAATTTCTTCTCACAAGGATTTTCATTTATATTGATTGAAAGAGTCCTTTAAATGCATTTCGACGTTGATTATTACATAACCTTATTGTACGTGCATTTACAAAGCAAAGCATGAGCGGCATCAGTGGGTCGGAGGTGCCCTTCCGCACAGTCAGAGCCCCGCGGTCCGGGGTTTCTCCTCTGCAGAGTTGGTGCTGGTGTTTCCCTGCACGCTTTTGTCCTGTGTGCCGCCGGAGGCGTGGGCGACGCAGTGCGTCGTCAAGGAAAGCTTCTCTGGGGTTCCTGGGGTTCCTCCGATGCTTCAGGTTCCCGAGCCGAGGCGTTCCGGGTGGCACCGGGAGGTGTCGGTGGATGTTGGAAGCTGTCCCCGGCTCCTCGTGCCCCATCCGATGGCCGGCTGTGAGTCCTGTCTGTGACAGACACACCCGGGAGCAGCCGTCCCGTTGTGCTTCGGGCGGTGACAGACGCATTCCCGGATGTGGGGGCAGTGACCTATATCTGTCACAATCGATTTCAGACATGTCGCAAATGCGCACCTTTAAAAGGATGAAGCATATTACGTTTAACTAGCCTGTCAATTGTATTAGTCAAACCTGTATCATTTTTTACATGCACCTCTGCTGATTTTTGCTTTAAATATTTGGAGGCCATGTTGTCAGCTACATATATTCAGACTTGTTAATCGTGTGATTACTGGGATGTTATGTCATGATTTGGTGACTGTCTTCATCTGGTGTGCGTGTGCTAATGTAAGGGGACCGACGACCGGCTTTCTTTCGCTGAGGTTTGTCTGCCGTTTCTCTCGCCACCCTTTCCCCTTCAACTGTTACCTATTCTTATCTTTTAAAGACGCTTCTTGCCATTTCTTTTTTGTTGCTTGTTTCTTTATGTCCGGGTGTTAAGCCTTGGTCCTTTTCCCACCTGTGTTCATTGTAAATGTATCAGTTACTGATGACCGCGTAACAAAGGATTATAAAGTGGTTGGCGTAAAACAACCGTGGGTTGCCGTTGCAGCTGTGGGCACTGGCAGGCAGGTCGGGGCCTGCTCCCGTCGGGGTCCCCTCTCATGTGGATACAGTCGGCCGGCCAGCCAGGGCGGCCGAGCTCCTCCCAGGACCGCCCTCACCCGCCTAGGGCCTGAGCCGAGGGGGCTGCAGCAGCTGGGGTGTCTGGGGCTCCCTCTGGGCTCCCCAGAGCACAGGGCTCGGGGTCCCGGGACGGCGGAGGTTCCGGGCCTCGCACAGCGCCACCTGGGCCGAGTTCTCTGGGTCAAAGGAAGTCCCAGAGCCAGTCCGCACTTAACGATGGAGAAAGACACCCCCCCCTCCCCCCGGCCACCGTTAGACAGTGAATGACTGTAATTGGAGAGGAGAGAACATGGACCTGGTAGGGACGATGAACACTGCGGAGGTTAAGCATCAGTGAGAGGCTGTTAGGAACAAGTGTGTCCGTTAGAAGAAAGTCCAGCCAATACCCACGTCCCACGGCACCGGGACTGTCCTTCCGGGATGTGGCGCCGCCCACCCCCCAGCCCTTTCAGAAGGAGCCGCCGTCGAGAATTTGGTTTGTGCTCGTTTACACCCTGCTGGGATACCTGCACGTTCCCGCACCTTCCGGCACCTTCCGGAGCGCAGGGCGCAGTGTCCCACCCTCGGGACGGGTGCCGCCTGCAGCCGAAGTCCACGCGCCTCTTATCAGCTCTGATTGATCCGAGAGGCTCCTCGGTATTGAGAGGCTGAGTCCAGCCTTTTTTCCTGATCGTGTGGGATTCGGTTTTGTAAATACCGTGATGTGCTCCTTCCTTCCTGCTGGGGTTCGGGCTGTTTTTCTGCCACAGGCAGTGCCGCCACGCCAGGGTTCCTTAGGGTTACCTGAGGAGGGTTAACAGGGTCAAACACCCACGTGCCGCGTCGCCGGTGCGGCCGGGCGCTGCCGAGCTGTTCTCCGGGGCGGGCGGTAGTTCGGTTGTTCATTTGAGTTGTTTTCCTTTCAGTGCCTGAAGACCTCTCCTTAGAAGAGAGGGAGGAGCTTCTAGACATCCGTCGGAGGAAGAAGGAACTTATCGATGACATCGAGGTAAAAAGAAAATCTTTCAGTTTTTGCTTTTGGGCCAAAGAGTAAATGAGGGAGCTTCAGGGCCAGGAGAGAAAGTTGGCGTCTGCGTGGCCCGAAGGGACGGAGCAGGAGGGCCAGGGGGCTGGGCCGGCGCAGCGGGGACCGGCGGCACGGCCGTGGGCGGCCCCCAGGACACCACAGATCCGCAGTCAGCCGTGGGGGACACGTGACTGCAGAGTCACCACAGTCATTTTCAGACAGCAGCGGCAATCTGCAGGCGCATTGCTCCCCGAAATTGTCTGGGGAGACCCGGTTTTGTGCAGCAGTGTCCCCAGCACTGAGGACGTCGCCGCCCCGTTTCGGTGCCTCGGGCGTCTTTGCCGTCGGTGACTGCGCCCCCGTGGGGTTCCAGGTGCGCACCAGGTGCCTGCCCCCGCCCCCCCACAGCTGACACAGCCCAGGCCCAGGAGCACTGGGCTTCCCTCTGCGTGAGCTCGGGGGGCCGGGCAGGGGTCCCACAGGAGACGCAAGGGAGGGACGCCCTTCTCGCAGTCGGAGGGTCTGCGGCTGTTGCCCAACCCGTCCAGGAGACCTGCACTCGCTGCTCCCCGCCGGGCCTCCCCAGGACATCGGACGCGTGGCTCTTCCTTGGGAAGCGTCCGTCGCCGTCCTGCCAGAGTCAGCGCGGCCTCTCGGGCCGCCGGCCGTGCGGCCAGGCCCTGTCCAGACAATGCCTCCTTTCTAGCGGCCCGCGGCTGGAGTCTGAAGTCTCTTGGCACACGGAATAAATGGGTTTCTAATAAAAAAAAAGTCTTTGTGCTTGAAGGATGATTCCTGGAACGTCTACTTCTGAGGTTACCCTTCGTTCCTGGGGACGCCAGATGCCCGGACTAGGGGCCTGGGCTGGAGAGTCGGAGTGTACCGGGCCCGGCACAAATGACGCCCCTGCTTTATTACAAAGTCTTTTACTATGAACTCATAAGCGTGCCACTCTGTAACGCAACACTGTCACACTCAAGCACACCCTATGCATTCTAGGTGAAGTGTTCAAATTAAAATGATAAATTATGACAGCCATACGATGACCCTGCCGACCCCCCTCAGGCAGGTGCTACTCCTGCCGGACGCTGGAGTTTCAGGTCAATGGTCTGTTTGGACATCTGTTGTAATGGTGCCGTGCAGTCTCGGGAAGCCTGCCTTCCTCGTGGAGGGGTGGGGACGTCCGCTCCTCCTGGAGCTCCTGGTGCGTCTCAGGGCCACAGGCGCTCGCTCTGGTCACCCCCTGGGCTCTGTCCACAGTGCTTCGTCTCCTGCAGAGGGACGGAAACCGTCCCGAGATTTGGGGGGGGGCGCTGTGCTAACAGCCCTGAAACCTCACCTCCTGCCCTGGCCTCCTACGAGCCCAGGAGGCCGTGAAGGGGGAGGCAGGTGGGAGTGCTGCTGCCGCCTTTTCGTAGCCCCCACAAGGGTGCTGAGCACTCCCCTTCTTTATCACTGGCCCCCGAGACATCCCCCTGGGGTCCCCTCCTGATTTCTTCCTCCTTCCCGCTCGCTCTCCCCCTCTCTCTCTCCCCTTCTCTCTCTCTCCCTCTCTCTCTCTCACACACTCACACTCACACACACTCACACTCAGGGACCTGCCTCATGGATGCCTCCGACCCCCTGGCGAGGGGGCACAAGTCGCAACATTTCTTTCTCCCGCGCCAGGGCGGCGCCGACTAGGAGAGTACCTCTGGATCCGTAGGTACAGGTGTGTCCAGGCCCGTGGCGTCCAGGCGAGACCCCGGGGAGCAGCCCCGGGTGCCTCTCCGCGTCTGGCGGAGGAAGGGAAAGGCCCCCGGCCCGCCTCAGCATCCTCCCTCCTCTCTCGACAGAGACTGAAGTATGAAATCGCCGAAGTGATGACCGAGATCGACAACCTGACCTCTGTGGAGGAGAGGTAAGCCCGGCTGCAGCAGGGTGGGCTGGGGGTGGTGGGGGGGAGGGCTGTGCGGAGCCACAGGGGGCCCCTTCCCCGGCTTCCTCTGGCTCATCCCGGTTCAGGGAGCAGCATGGCCCCTCAGAGCTGACCTCGCACAGGTGACTCTCTGTGCAGCAGGGAGCTGTGCACGTCTTAGGTCACCGCCCCCCACCATTAGCCTTCCCCGGAAGAGGTACCACAGGCAGGAAGGGGCCGAGTCCCCTAGCCAGGGCCTCGGCCACTGCAGTGCCGGGGGAGCGGGCGGGCCCTGGGAGCCGCGTCCAGTAACGGCGCCCTCCTTATCTCCGCGCACAGCAAAACCTCGCAGAGGAACAAGCACGTCGCCATGGGGAGGAAGAAGTTCAACATGGACCCCAAAAAGGTAAGGGGGCGCATCGGGTGTTGGCCCACCAGATGCTATGGACTGACCCATCTGAACGGCCTGCTCCCTTTTGATAAAGGTGGCCGTGCTGCCTCTTAAAAACGCAGAGTCGGTTTTAAGTTTTTATCAAGGGCCACTGATGAGTGGGGTGGAGCGAACACATTTGTCGGCTGGTCCCGGGACCAGAAGGCCTTTCTCTCCTCGTGCGGAGCTTCCTTCGCGTGTTCCGGCGCCTCAGGTGCCCAGAAGCAGCCCTGGGCTCCCCACGAGGAAGATGGGGACAGGCCGGTGGGATGGGGAGGCTGCGAGCGCTACGGAGCGACCCCTCTGCGTTCCCAGCTTCCCAGACACGCCTGGGAAAACACACACGCATCTGTGACCAGCAGGGGGCAGCACGCTCAGAGGCGCGGGTGTGGGTGTGCGGTCAGCAGAGGGCATTCTAGACTGCCCCCACTCCGCGCCGAGCAGTAGTGTGCGCCCCCGCGGGGCCCGGCGGTGTCTCGGCCGTGCCCAAGCCCGCGCACCCGTCTCCCTGTGACTGGAGCGCGAGCCCCGGGGACTGTCCTGAGCGGTGCTCCCGTCCCGCCGCAGGGGATCCAGTTCCTCATCGAGAATGACCTGCTGCAGAGCTCCCCGGAGGACGTGGCCCAGTTCCTGTACAAGGGCGAGGGCCTCAACAAGACCGTCATCGGGGACTACCTGGGGGAGAGGTGAGCTGGGGGAGGGGTGCTTCCCCTCTGAACTTCAGAATCCCTGTCCTGTGGGACCCCGAGGACCCCTGTGCATTGATCCTAGAGGAGGAGGAAGTGGGGGGAGGGGAGAACAAATGTCGATGTGAGACAGAAACATCCCCCCACTCGCTTCGCTTCCCTTCCCCACGGGGAATCAAACCTGCGGCCTTTGGGTGCACGGGACGACGCCCCAGCCTACGGAGCCGCCCGGCCAGGGCCTTCCTGGCGTCTGGATGCTGGAGCGAGAATGGGCTCCAAGCCTCCGCGGGGGGAGGGAGGGAGAGGCCTCTGGTCCTGCGTGAGTTTGGGATCAGGCGGCGATCTCCTCGCCCTCACGCCCACCGGTCGTGATGTCACGTCGGTCCCCCACGGGGTCCCCTGGGCCCCGTGGCCAAAACCGCACGAACAGACAGCACCTGGACCTTCAGTCACGCGACTGAAACCCAGGAAAATGGCCGGAGGGGACGTGTGTCTTGGAGCCGTCTGCGGCGGGCTGGAAGGCGGCTTCCTCTCTTTCCAGGGACGACTTCAACATCAAAGTGCTGCAGGCCTTCGTGGAGCTGCACGAGTTCGCCGACCTCAACCTGGTCCAGGCCTTACGGTGAGCGTCTTGTCGCGTGTGGTCCCGGAGAAGAGGGCAGCGGGGGTCCGCTGCCCGAGCGGAAGTGGCAGACACCCGCGCCACGTCACTCGCAAGGGCCGCCCGGGTCCCTGCGGACGCCGGCGCCCCTCCCTCTGCGTGGCCTCTCCGGGGCCGCCGGCTGCGCATGTGCCGTTCACAGGTCCTTGGCCGACTTCCGCTTTAAATGAGGCTCGGCGGCTGGGTGCGGGCTTTCCTCCCACGGGCGGGGTGGGGCCGCCGCTGTCCGTGTCGCGCCCTGTGCTCGGCCGCGCGCCCGGGCCGAGCCGCGCTGCCAGCTCTGGGTGCTGCGGCCGGATTCTGGATTCCCGGGGCTCGGAGTCAGTTTCTGAGAACCCGGCCGCCCAGGGAGGGGCCGGCCGGGCGCGTCTGGGGGTGTGGTCGCGGCGGCCAAAATTCCGTGTCTCTTGGTTGCTCCGTCTCTGGCCCGAGCCGCAGGCCTTGACTCACTGCTGCGGGTGTCGGTGGGTGGCCGGCCGAGGGCAGGGAGCTGCCTGTCGTCCCTGCGTCACCTGCCGTGTCCGTGTCCCCCGGCCGAGCGGAAGGAGCTCCATGGGATTGGAGGGAAGGCCGCTTCGAGTCGCCTGCACCGACGGGCGGCGCACCTGCCGCGTGCACCTGGCGTCCGGCCTGGGCCCCGGGGTGGGGAGGGGGGTGAGGCCAGGACGCTGGGAACTGACGGCCACTCGCCGGCGCTCGTGTCTCTCCAGGCAGTTCCTGTGGAGCTTCAGGCTTCCAGGCGAGGCCCAGAAGATCGACCGCATGATGGAGGCGTTCGCTTCCCGCTACTGCCTGTGCAACCCCGGGGTCTTCCAGTCCACAGGTCAGTGACGGGGCGCGGGACGGCTCTGCCTGTGGCCTGCCCTGCTGGACACAGGTCACTCGGACACGGGAGCCAGACCAGCCCGTCGGCTGCCCTGAGGCTGAGCGCCCCCCCCGCCGCTGCCCTCGGGCTTCTTTCAGACACGTGCTACGTGCTGTCCTTCGCCATCATCATGCTCAACACCAGCCTGCACAACCACAACGTGCGGGACAAACCCACCGCCGAGCGCTTCGTCACCATGAACCGGGGCATCAACGAGGGCAGGGACCTGCCCGAGGAGCTGCTGCGGGTGAGCGGCGGCCCCGCCCCTTCCGGGAGACCGCCCCGCCCCTTCCGGCTCCCTCCTCCGGCCCCCGGCGCTTGCTCTTGATCCTTGGTTGTGAGCTGGGCGGCGCCAGTGCCCCGATCTTAGCGCCTCTTCGGCGAGTCCCTCGCCGCTGCGCTGTCCCCGTTCCCTCCACCACCACGCGTGGGCTGCCCGGGAAGGGCCAGGCCCTCCCCGCTGAAGCGCGCGCTGCTGCTGTCCTCGCAGAACTTGTACGAGAGCATCAAGAACGAGCCGTTCAAGATCCCGGAGGACGACGGCAACGACCTGACACACACGTTCTTCAACCCGGACCGCGAGGGCTGGCTCCTGAAGCTGGGTGAGCGGCGCCGGCGGGCGGGAGGGACCGCGCTCCGGGCCCCGCAGCGCCCCGCAGCGCCCCCCAGCGCCCCGCCGCCACTCCCGCCGCGTGCCTTCCGAGTTCCGCTAGCGAGGCCGGGGAGCCAAGGCAGACCATGAAAAACAAGGTCATTAGGAAAAGGCCGCGCTCGGTGGCCGGCCGCACGCCCCAGACTTGAGGGCGCTGCTTTGAATCACAGCCCCCGAAGGGGGCCGTCCGTCCACGGCCCCGGCAGGCAGTGAGGGCTGGGCCGCGCCAGGGTCCCAGAGCACTGTCTCCAGGGACTGCGTTGCTCCCCGTGTTTGGTGTGGCTGGTGCTCGACGAGTGGTTTAAATGTGCCTTCTCCTTGTTTTCCTTCTGCCTGCGGGTCCCGCCTTTCTGCTCTGTGGCGGGCTGTCCCCGCTGCTCTTGCGGGAGGAGGTTCGTGCGCGGTGGCTCCCTCTCTGCCCCGGCTGCTCATCCCCGTCCTGGTCTCTCGCCCTGTGGGTGTGCGTGAAGCTCTGATTTCTGGCTGCCGTTCATCTGACCCACGTGGCTTTGGACTTGCCGGTGGATGTGCCTGCCGCACCCTGGGCTGGGCAGGAATGGCCGGAGCGCAGCCGATCTCACCCCATGCCGCCCGGGGGAGGGGGGGTTGCTGTGTGGGACCGAGCCTGCCCCTCTTCCTGGCTGGAGCAGCAGGGAGAGGGCTTGCGGCAGCCCCGCCCCCCCTTCACTCCGCCCTGGTACTAACTCCGTGGCTGCGCATGCTTGCACCACCGTGGGAAGAGCCCAGAACATTTGAAAGGCATCCTAACCCTTGACAAAGAAGCAGGGTGGTTTTTATGTTTTCTGGACGATCGTAGGAGGCGGTAGGGTCTTTGACGGGGGGGTGGGTTGGGGTTTCTGCCTGACGGTGCCACTAGAGCCTGTGCAATGTGACAGCCCCGTATCCTCCAGGCGCTCCGAGAACAGATGGTGAGACACCAGGCGTATGAGAGTCCTGGTGGTTTGGTTCTTAATCAAGGGAGGCGGAGTCCCTGGCGTGGGTGCAGCATGGCAGGCATGGGTGCAGTGTGGCAGGCGTGGGAGCAGGCCGCAGGTTCATGTTTCGGGCTTGGGGCCTTGCTCTGACTTTTCTCGGGCCCCGTCGAGGTCTGGAGAGTTCCGGATCTCTGCCCAAGAACCGGAAGCATAGCCTTCACACCTGAATGCCTGAGTGGCCTTCAGGGTGCAGCAGCCTCTGCGATCCCATCAGACCGGGGGGCTGGGAGGAGGGGTGTGCCCCCAACACCAGTGCTGGCGTGCCCGCTCCCGTCCCTGCAGTGCCGGCCAGTGCCCCTCGAGGGGCGGTGACAGTGCAGGCTCCTGGCGGCTGGTGTGGTCTGCGGCCAGCGGGGCTCGTCTTCCAGCCTCTCAGTGGAGCAGACGAGGGGCCGGGACATCAGTGCTCAGGGCAGTGTCCGGAGCTGCCGGGACCCGAGCGGGGGCCCGATGCAGTGGCTGGACGTGGCCTGAGCACAGGGGACAGCCGGGAGCCTGGGGTCTGCCCCTTCCACGCTCCCGTAGCCGCGTGCACACGTCTCTGGGGAGGGAAGTCATGGCCCTGGTGTTCCGGTGAGAAGCCACAAAGCTAGTGACAGTGGTGTTATTCAGTCCTCGAGCCTCCCGGCCAGGTGGCAGCCGAGAGCTACCGTCCCCGACAGCCCTGGCAGCCCCCGTGTCTGCTCTTCGCTGAGAGCTGTTCCCGCCCGGAGAGCGGGCACGCCGGCGCTGGCAGGCTCCCCGGGCCGCCCCGCCCGGTGCCCGGAGGGGCTCCTGCCCCGGTGTTGGCGCTGGCCTGGCCACTAGAGGTGGGTGGCTGGTGCACGTCGCTCTCCGAGGGCCAAGGAGGAGGTCAGTCACCTGCAAGCCGGTGCCAGAGACGCGCCAGGTTGGCCCCCGGCACCTACGGCCTGGACACAGAGGCGCAGCCCGAGGCGTCTGAGACAGGGCATCTCTCGTTCTGGGTTCAGTCTGAGAGCAGGTGGCCTTCCAAAGGCCTGGGCGCTTTGTCAGCACACAGCAGTCGGGGTGCCGCCCCACGGTTGTCGAGTAAACACCTTACGGTCACCGAGTTTCGAGAACAAAGCAGTTGTTAAAGAGACGGGAACGTGGGTCAGAGTTGACCTGTGCAGGCAGAGGGACTCGCGTGCTCTTGTCTGGACTGCCCTGTGCCCCGTCAGAAGCAAGGGCGAGAGCTGGAAGCCGGCTTGTTGTCCCCGCTGAGCATGTAAGGGGACGGACGCTTTCCCCTTCCATGGCGGGAGGGGTACACGCGGAGGAGCTGCGTGTGTGAGTGACACGTGTGTCCCAGACCCTGTTAGGAGGTGAATTCAATCTCATACCCCGGGCCCGGGAGTAATTGATTTTGATGGGCCCCAGGGCTGCCCAGAGCCCTCCGTAATGCGATCAGGACCCCGGCGTAACAGGATTAGGTCCCGGACAGCCGGGGCGGCACCCACTTCCCCCCGCTGCCATTTCCACGTGGGGAAATGAAGCCCATTCATCACGGCTGCCTTTTCCAGGAGGCGAGTTTGAGGGGAGCAGCGGAGCCGTCTGGGTGCCCGGGGAGGCCGTGGGGGCGAGGTGCAGGCCTGGGGGAGGGGAGTGCCGGTGAGCAGAGCACCACGCCGCGCGTCCGCTCGTCGCCCGGCGGGCCCGAGAGCCCGGGTGGCCCAGGCCACGCAGCTCGTCCAGGACGTGGTTAAGTGTTGGACGGGTGGGCCTCTTCCCAAGGAAGGAAACCCGAAAGCGAGCTCGGCTCCCTCCCGGGGGCCTTTCGGGAGGCAGCGGTTCGCGTGGCCCGGGCCCCAGGCGCCCGCCCGCCCCGGCCTGCTCACGGGGCCCCTGTGCTTGCAGGCGGGCGCGTGAAGACCTGGAAGCGGCGGTGGTTCATTCTGACCGACAACTGCCTCTACTACTTCGAGTACACGACGGTGAGTGACGGGCGGGTGGCCCGCCGCCCTCCCCGTCCGAGGGGCCTGTGGTCTCGCCTCGTGTGAGGCTGCTGTGCGCTCTCCCCCCGCAGGACAAGGAGCCCCGGGGGATCATCCCGCTGGAGAACCTCAGCATCCGGGAGGTGGAGGACCCGCGGAAGCCCGTGAGCCGCCTGCCGCCCTGCCTCCTGCCGGCGGGGCCCTCCCCACAGCCCCGATGCTCTGGTGGCCGGCCGGCCGGCCGCCCTGGGGGGCGGGGGGCGCAAGAACATCCCGTGTCCCCCCCCCCCCCCCGCTGACAGCCCCTCTCTCCCCCCACCAGAACTGTTTCGAGCTTTACAACCCGAGTCACAAAGGGCAGGTCATCAAAGCCTGCAAGACGGAGGCGGACGGCCGAGTGGTGGAGGGCAACCATGTGGTGTACCGCATCTCCGCGCCCAGCCCCGAGGAGAAGGAGGAGTGGATGAAGTCCATCAGGTGCGGGCCCAGATGCTCCCCCGGGCGTCGCGCCAGGGACCAGTGTCGCCGTTGACAGTGACCCGGTGATTCTTACTAGGATCGCTGGACCCCCTTCGGCAGTGACCATCAGAGAAGTCAGCGAGGCGCAGATCTGTCACTTAAAGGACCTGGAAACGACAGAGTCCGCCGGGGGCCGCGCAGGCTGGCGGGGCGGCGGGGGGGGTAGCGTGCGCACACCGGGCGCTGTCGTGCTTTTGAGGGACGGAGGGGGAGGGAGGGGAACGCGGGTCCGCTGTCCCACCTATGGGTGCACCACGGTTGGCTCCTGCAGGGGTCCTGGCGGGGGTCGAGCCTGCGACCTTCTCGTTGCGGGGTGGCGCTCTGGCCGACCGAGCCCCCCGGCCAGGGCGTGGGTGCGGCTTTTACTGGGGCGGAGGGCGGGGCCTCTGGCTCTGAGGGCTCGCTCTCGATGGGTGGACTTGGAACTCCCACGAGAGTGTGGGTTCAGGGCGCAGGCAGAGAAAGCAAGCAGCCGACACAGTGGTGTGTCCCGGTCACCAGGGACCTTCGAAGCCCGGGGGCGCGGTGGGGGGCGCGGTGGGGGGCGTGTCCGGCCCGGGCCAGGCCGGGCGCTGGCCCACGTCTGCCGCGGCGCCCGGCCCTGGCGGTCACGTGGGAGTCGGATGCTTGCGTGTGAGTTAGAAGGCGCGGACGTCAGGGCTGACACGCCCGTGAGGCTGGGGCGGAGTGCACACGGGTGCCCGTGCCACCCGCGTGAGCGGGAGTGGCCCGTCTCCAGACTCCCGGGGGTCACAGCGGTCCTCCGGTCGGACGGCCCGCGGGGTGCCGGCCGGGGTGGCGGAGGGGAGGCCCCCTCACCGGGCCCTTGTGTCTCCCCAGAGCGAGCATCAGCAGGGACCCCTTCTACGACATGCTGGCCACCCGGAAGAGGAGGATCGCCAATAAGAAGTAGCTTCCCCGCCCGCACAGGTAAAAGTGACCGCCGCGCCCCGCCGCAGCCCGGACCCCCGACGGCCGGCCTTTCCCCGGAGGCGGGGCGCGCCGCACTCCCGCCCCGGCGGCCTCCAGGGCCCCCCGGTTCTCTGAAGCCTCTGTGCGCCCCGCATTGGTGGCTCCCCTCCGCCGAGGGCCTCCGCTCAGCGGCCGGGGAGGCCGGCCGCGACGGCGTGTGCGACGGACTCGGGCCATGGGCCCGCCCACGGGCCCACCCACAGACTCAGGCCACAGGCCCGCCCACAGACCCACGCACGCCATCGACACATGCGGTCACGGGGGTTGCTCGCCGCTTCGCATCAGAGCAGCGGGGGCAAAGCTATGGTTTCTATCCAGACTTTTTCTCAGATGTATAGGATTATAGCTTTTATATGCCTTTTTCTATTTTGAAATTATAACGAGAGATACTTTCTAATAGTAGTATTTTTAGAACGGCAGCTATAAACGTAACTCCTGACACACGTATTTACCGTGCACTGAAAACAAACCACGTAGACACTATATATGCAGCCGCCAGGGGCTCAGCGCCGGGGCGGGCGCTCACCGGTGTGGGGTTCGGGGCCCTGCAGGGTGCACTCCAAGTGCCACTGCTCTGGCGGGGGGGGGCCCTCGTCCCTCCTGGGGCCTCCTCGACGCGGACTGGGTGGCCCCACGGATTCTTTATAGGAAGGCCAATCATTGACATTTACGGTGTGGGTGTCCCGTGAGCGCCGCACCCCAGCAGGGATGCGTGTGGGGGGAGCCGTGTGAGACCACCGTACGGCCGTCCTGACCCCCACAAGCACATGGTCAGCCCGCGGCCGCCGTCCTCGCTGTTCAGAGCCTTTGGGCAAAACGAGGCCCCTGTCCCTGACCTGGCAACTGACCCCGTACATCCCTCAGTGTGACGAGCAGGTGTAAGCGGATGTCATCCCACCCGCTCTTCCAGAGATCCCCTCTCCCGCCGCGCGGCCCCCAGGGTCTTCTGCAACTACTGGTGGGAGCCCCCAGCGCGCGCCGGCAGTGCGGCGGGCTGGTGCAGGCCCAGGGCCCGGGGCTCAGGCTGCCGTCCCCGGGACGTCTGCAGGGGCCCCCGCCCGCCCCCGGCCAGACTGAGACACGCAGGTGGACGGGGCCGGAGGCCTCTGGTCCTTCAGGACAGGCTCGAGACACATGCCTTCTCTGTTGGGGGCTGTGTTTCCACCGCCAGGACCGCCTCGCCCGCCGGGGCTGTTCCGGTGGCGGGCCCCTCACCGTGCAGAGGCGCCTGCCGCTGCCCCGTCTGCGCAGGTGCACCCCGAACTCACACCGTGTCGGGCGCAAGTCCAAGGAGGATCGCCCCAGACCGACTCTGCACTTGGGCGGAGGCACCAGCGGCAGGAGTCACGGCCCGTGAGCGGCCCAGCTGAGACGGAGGCCGCGGGCCCTGGGCGTGGCTTTAAGTCATGCTCATCTGCAGAGGGTCCGAGCCCTGGACTGTCCAGCGTCGTCAAACTGGCTCTGACAGCTTACTCCTGGGCTCCCAGGCCCCGTTCTTGTACCGATACCTCAGATTCACAAGTTTGGTTTGGGAGAAGACAAGACATCCTTAAACAAGACATCCTTGAAATGCCCGAGACGCACACGCATGGCTCTGGGGGGCTGCCTGGACCGCCCACCGCACGCTGTCCAGCAGTGCAGCCCCCAGGCCGGCCCTCCGGCGGAAAGATCACTCTCTCACCAGGATGTTCTGTCCTTTGTCTGACCCAGGGAGGCCCCTGGGGCTATGGGGCTTTTCTGTCCCCTGAGTGGGGCCGGGAGGAGTGGACCTCAGGAAGCACTTGACGCGAGTGTTTCCCTGGTCGCCTGCGAGGGAGACTGGCCCGAGGGCCCCACCCAGGAGTGACGCAGGAAGCCGTGGTGCTCCGAGTCTGCACACCCTGCCTACCGTCCGGGTGTCACAGGGAACCACCGAGCCCCAGGCCTCGCTGTGACAGTATTAACCTCGCGGTCAGGCAGGCCGGCTGCCTGCCCCTCGGTCCCACTGGGTGCACCCTCCCCCCTCCCCCGTGTCCGCGCGCAGTGCCGAGTTGCCGTCCCGCTGCCGGCCAAAGACGTGCTGTCCCCCAAGGGGCGCTGGGTGGACGCAGCAGCTCCCGCAGCCCCGCGGGCCTTGGTCAGCAGGTGAGGCTCAGCTGGACGACCCTGGACCCAGACAAGCAAGCGTCTTCAAGACCACAGAACGTTTTTGAGCAGTTTAACGTGGTACCAAGCTATTTATAGACGCAGCAGCATTGAGTGCTTCCCGTGAAGCAATGCATATATATCTACTAGACGTGCTTTGCTGAAAAGTTAGGTCTGTTGTAGACCAGAAGCCACAAGTGATCTCGTTTTCTTATTTTTTTCTTAGAAGACATTTCTATTACAGTAAATAGTTAATGTGTAAATAATGTACATATATATTGATTTCTGGAGTGTTTATTCAGTGTATATACTTCCACAACTTGCATGAAAAAATACCCTATATCGATATTTTGTTGTAAACAGTAAAACTGGAGGGTGTGTGGCTGTCCGACTGCAAACTCTGTGCTGACTAAATAAAACCAGACGCACTGCTCACACAAGGCCGTCTGCAGACCTGCTTCTGTGCGCCGGCCGCCGGGCCCAGCGACCGCTCGCCGTCCCGGTCTGCGCCTGCGGGCGGGGCCAGAGTCCGCAGCGCGCTCGGGCGGCGCTAACAAAGTGGAGGCGGCAGGAGGCAGCCGTGAGGTGTGTCTGTAAGCAGATGGGGCGGACAGCAGTGAAAAATAAGACACAGGTGTTTAGTAGTTTGCTGCCATTTATATACTCTATAAATTTTACATGCTGTATATTTACAGTGGGGCAAGTACTTTTTTTAATCTTTAAAAAAACAAAGATCAAACTTTAGACATCTCTGAACAACACGAACTGTATAAACCATACAGATTATTCAGATACAAACTGTATCAAATACAGTTTTCCCCACCCCATCTCCTGATGCAGGACCAGTGAGTTATAAGTGTATCACAGTTTGATAGCATATCCATATTAAAAATAAAACCACAGTATGATTGTGTCTGTAACTAGAAACTTTCAAGGGACCAAGCTCACAACTCAGACTCTGGTATCATAGTCAAGACAAGGGACACTGTATAAAAGAGTGTTGTGTAATAAAAAACGCACTGTAGGCTTTACAAATAATGTCTGGGTTATACATTCATAATGTAAATACTCATCATAACTGGTGAATTGATTGGAATAGTTCCACAAAGTTCAAAAACAGAACTTGTCTATAAAATACACCTTCAAATCTTGAATACAACTAAAATATGAAGCAAATTAGTTTCTAGTATCAGACGTTACAGAAAACAGACTGCTCTCAGAAGCCTGGCTGAGAGCTGGTGGAGCTTTAAATAAGTCTTTAAATTAAATGTACATACTGTCGGTCGCGCGGGGAACAGCTCTGGCCTCCCGGCTGGCCTCGCGCCGGCTGTCGGACTTGGAGGAGCATCGCGTGGGATGCAGTGATCGACCTGAGTCTGGGAGTAAGCAGCATTTGAGATGTTCTAGTCCAGGGCGTTATTTTCAGTGTGATTTATATACACGGTATTTTACAATGCTCAGCAGTTGTAGAAAGTGTTCGTCCATTTGGAATAAGGGTAATTAAGAAAAGGTAAAAACTAAAAAAAAAGTTGTCCATGGTAAAATCTGTACAGTATTTACTAAAGAAGCACCACGCAGATTTGAACAAGGTTATTTTCTATATTTATAATTTAAGCTGGGTTGGGGATGGCTTCTGTTGAACATGTCGAATCTGAAAAACAAGACGCGGGAAGTTGGAACGAGGGCCTGGTGAGTCCCCCACACCGACTCCTCGTCTGCGGACTCCTTGCTGGCGGCCCCCCCAGGCCTTGGGGGCAGCACTGCCTGGACCCCCAGCTCTGTCTGCCTCTCTGATTGGCCCCAGGCAACGGGGCTTCGGCCGGTTCCAGGCGGCAGCCTGCGGCCCGCTCAGCCAAGAGGCAGAGGCGCCCTCTGCTGGGCACAGAGTGTGCCCTCCAAACCCCGACTGGCTAATCCCTCCCAATCCTTACATTCCCTCTAAAGGGAAGAATTTAATTCCTTAATTAGGCTTAGGTCTTTCCCTTGAAGACACATTGATATAAAGCACGTTAATTAACTGAAAATTAATCTTCTGAAGATGTTTTACTTTGAAATTCGTTGTTTAATCCCTCTTGCTGCCAAGGAGTTTTACATTTGGGCCAACGGCTCCCTGTCCACGCCCCCTCAGCCAGAGGGCAGGGCACAAACGGGACCTCTGCCTCCCGGGGCCATGGAAGAGGGTTCCGGCAGTCGGCCGCCTAGCCTGCGAGGGGTCTGATCTGCTGGAAAACACCCGAACCTCGTTCAAACAAAGCAAAGGCCTCTCTGAGACGGGGGTGGGGCCGGACGCCTCCGGTCTGTGGGTGTACTGGCCCGGCGCCCCAGGGTGCCGGGACGGGTGGGCGTGTGGAGGGAGGGAGGCCCGGGGGCTCCTCTCTCAGGCCGTGGGCCGGTCTGGGCTGAGAGGCCGGACTCCACCTCGTCCAGCGTCTCCAAGGGACGGGCTCCCGTGCGCTGCCCGCGCTCGTCTGCTCGCAGTGAGCAGGGGGGACGGGGGGACGGCCTAAGTCTGGGGACACAGGCGTCCCTCGGGCAGCGTGCTGACGAGGGAGTGTACACACAGCGCCAGCCTGGAGGGCCGAAGGGCTGGCCGCCCTGGCCGGGGGCTCCCGCACCCGCACCCCACAGCCCGCGCCCCAGACCCACTCTGGGTCTGGGCAGCACCCCCACAGCTGCACGGGGACAGACGTGCACACAGCTCACCGTGACTAGTGGCGTCCTGGTTTTGAGGCCGAGTCTTCAGTCACCTAGGGCGCAAGCAAAGTCGGGGAATAAGTCAGTGGGCACTCACACACGAGGGGCCTGTGCTGTGCGTGCAGTGTGTGTGCGTGCGGTGTGTGTGAGCAGTGTGTGTGTGTGCGTTCAGTGAGTGTGCGTGAGCAGTGAGTGGGGCCCCGCACAGCCAGCTCTGGGCAGCCTGCTGTTCAGCCCCACACAGGGACCAGCAAGCTCTGCCGCCGGGAGCCAGGGCTGCCGAGTCACCAAACGAGAACGAGAGGCCGGAGGCCGGAGCACGGCGGCGAGGGCCACGCCTCTGGGGAGACGGCTGGGCCCGGCGAGCTGAGCATCCCACTGGCGTGTGGACCAAAGCAAGTGCGCTTTAACGCAGCCCGAGAACAGGAGTGTGGGAGGCAGGTAAGTGGCCACGGCACTGGGACAGAGGGCACGCGTCAGACAGCGGGGTCTGTCCTCGGCCAGGTGACAGGGATGCTGGTGGAAGGCGGAGAGATTGGCCCTTCTTGGGGGACGCAGGACCACGGGGCCACCATGCAGCAAAGCCTGGCTGCAGCCCCTGGAGACACAGCAGAGCTCCCGAGTGCCAGCCAGCGAGGTTTGCACGCCACGTGCTTCCCCCCAGAGCCAGCCGAGGGCAGCCCCCTCCCCCCAGAGAGACCCGGCCGACAGGGAGGGGCTGGCAACCACGGAGAACGCTCTCGGGCCCTCCACAACGGCCCTCACGGCCGCATGCCAGCACGAAGCAGAGGGGACAAGGGACTCAGTCTTCACCGAGCCCCTTCCCCAATCGCTGTCATGTTCAAAGAAAACCAATCTGAAAATACACACTAATTTCTTAAAAACAGAGCAAACACACACTTTAGCTCCACTTTTTTGCTGCCACGTGCCTCTGGGGCTCCCACCACACTTCACCCTCGAGTGGGACCGCCCGTGCCTCAGTGTCAGCCGCCACGGGCTGGCCACCCCAACACGCGACAGCTCAGTGGAGGCCAGGGTGGTCGAGAGCCAGAAGGCCTCTGGGCAGCCACGGTGACAGTCACAGTGACCGAAGGGCACCTCGGCACCCAGGCCGGGTCGGCAGCTTCTCCCACCAGAGACCGCAGGAGCCGGGCTGCACTGCGCTGCAGCTCCGGACGGGAACCTCACCCTGGCACGCCGTCACGGGAACCCAATCTTCGGACTTTTCCAGACACTTCAAATGTCAAAACCAGTCCTGCCTGGCAGGCCCGCGGCTGCCCTGGGCCCGGGGCCACGGCTCTCACCCCCGCTCCGGTCCACTGCCCCACACCCTACCTTCTCCCCATTCAGCGCTACTCCCCGGGGTCACAGATCAGGGCGGGGAGGGGCGGCCTTCAGGGCCACGAGAGTGGGAAGGACCACACAGCGAATGACAAGGGGACAGAGCCCTGGCAGATGTGCGCCCCAGAGGCCCCGCCCGGGCTGGCAGCCGCCGACCCCGAGGGCCCGGCTGGCAACAGTGACCTCCAGAGGATGCTCAGGATGCTGCAGGTTTAAGGATTCAGGAGAGAAAGAGTATTTTAAAATGGTTTAAGATATTTTAAAGACGGTGTAAAAACTGGTCCTTCACAAAGCAAGCGCTCGAGACACCCGGACCCAGAGGCGCGGCCCAGAGGCCCTGCTGGGCACGGGCAGCCCGGCTCCTGCGCTCGCCGAGGCTCGGGGCTGGGCCCTGCCCGGCCCGGGGCGCGCAGTCGGGGGCAGTCGAGGTGCAGGAAGCAGGGTGGGGGGTCCTACTGAGTCACCCTCTCGCGCTACGCAGGTTTTCTTCCCATGTGTTCATCAGCTGCTCCCACAATCCCGTCTCCGTGTTTCAGTTCCCAGTGTCTCCCCTTACCCTGGCCACACTCCGACACGTGACACCGGTCGCCCCTGCCGGCCATGCGGAAGTGTCTCGCCTTCTCGCGCAGAGGCCCAGCCCCTTCCAGGGACAGGCTGTCGGTGAGCGGGGGGCCCTCCGTCCTCCGGAAACGGTCGGCAGTCTCCGAGCTGGTGGCCTTAGCTAAGTGCGGTCCTGCGTCTTTACCCAAGTCCTCGGATTTCCTCGAGTGTCTCTTCTTTTTCTTCTTCTTCTTCCTGTGCCTGTGGAGGTCCGCGTCGGAGTGCGCTCCCGAGAGGTCCGAGTCCTGCGGGTGCCTGCAGGGGAAGCAGCCAGAGCTCCGACCACCGAACACGCAACGCCGTGAAGACGACCCGCTGCGCGGCTCGCACGCCGCCCTGGGCACACACTCCTCACTGCACACGCAGGTAAGGCTCTCGTCTAACTGAAAATGCACCGTAGTAATGTCCTGAAGTCCAGGGCCGTGAGTTCACCCACGTCCACCCCATCCCACCCCTGCCTGCGGCTCTGCTGGGGAGCCGGGGGGCTGGGCCACGACGCCGGGGGAGGGCTGTGGGGACCAGGCTGGGCAGGCGTCTCGGCCCTGAGGGGGCGGGGGGGAGGTGTCGGCGGGCTCCGGCCCCTCAGCAGCCACGGCCTCGTGGGGCACTCTCCCGGGCTTCAGGGTTGAGAGATGCCGAATATATGAAACATCTAAGTAATTCCGTCTGTGCTCATCCATCTCATCGTGAGTAAGTCATTTCCAAGATAATCACTGACCAGTTTAGTTTTTTAAAAACAAAAACATGTCATGGAGAGATTTTTGGTCAAGATGGCAACATAGGTAAGCACAGTGCCCACCTCCTCACACACCCACATCAAAATTCCAACCAAACTATAGAACCACCATCATTCAGAACCACCAGAAATCAAGCTGAACGAAGTCCTACAACTACGGAATTCAAAAAGAAACCACCTCGAGACTGGAAGGAGGGGCAGAAATTTGGGAAGTGCTGGCCCCACACCTGTGTGTGGTGGATAAAGATCGGGAGGCAAAGGTCCCCAGCCCAGGGCTGCAGTGCAAGGAAGAGACATCCCCACGATGCCTGGCTGTACAAAGGAGTAGGGATTGAGGCTGTGGGAGACAGACTTCTGGGGTCCCAGGCAGCTCCTCTTAAAGGACCTATGCACAGCCTTACTGACTGGCCTTCACTCCCTCTGAGCTCCAGCGCTGGGGCAGCAGCTTGAAAGGCACCAGAGGCATGGCGGGGGGGCGGAACTGACGTGTCCAGCCTCGGGGAGAGACCTGGGGGACAGCCTTCTCCCGGAGAGAGGTGCAGGCAGAGGCCACTGTTCCCTTTCTGAGCCCTCCCCCCACCCAGCTGGCAGGTGGAGGCCGTATCCGAGGCTCCACCCACCGGGCTCACACTGTTTGCCCCGCCCCACCCCAGCTTTCGGGTGCACCTGACCTGTTTCCAGTGGCTTTTCCATGTGAATGGCTTGTCTTGGCTCATGCTTCACATCTTCCTGAAGCCTCTTGAACAAGCAGCATCTGGCTTCAGCAAGCCCCTTACAGCTCCCTAAGTGGCCTGCAGATCCCTCTTTAGCTTATGCTGTGGCCCCAGACAAGACGCAGGCTGTGGCTGACCTTGCACGTGCCAACAGCAGTCAAGGCTCAACTACAGCAGCAAGGCGTACACGGCCCACCCGGTGGGCACGCCTTGAGCACCCAGCCTGAGCGGCAGGGGCGGCAGTGCCATGGGACCCTACAGGACACCTACGACCTTAGGCCATGCTCCCAAGCCCAGCCCAAACGAAAGGACAGAACAAAAGTCCGGAAAAAGAATGAAGCAAAATGGAAACAAAACATCTGCCAGATGCAGGGTTCAAACCACTGGCTATAAGGATGCCCAGTGAACTCAGTAAGAAGCTCAACTACGTAAAAAAGACCCGGGCAGAAATGAAGGATACGCTAATTGAAATACAGAGCAATTTACAGGAAAACAACAATGGAGTGGATGAAGCCAAGAACCAAATCGATGATTTGGAACATAAGGAAGCAAAAACCAACCAATCAGACGAGCAGAAGAAAGAATCCAGAAATACGAAGACAGTAGAAGGAGCCTCTGGAACGACCCCAAGAGGACCAACATTCACATTTTGGGGGTGCAAGAAGTGAGAGACCAAGAAAAATGTAAACTTATTTGAAAAAATGACAGAAAACTTCCCTAACTTGGGGAAGGAAATAGACATACAAGTCCAGGAAGCGCAGAAAATCCCAAACAAGATGAACCCAAAGAGGCCCACTCCAAGACACATCATAATGAACACGCCCAAGACCAAAGACAAAGAGAGAATCTTCAGAGCAGGAAGGGAAAAGCGGAGTTGCCTACGAAGGCCGTCCCCACCGGCGGACAGCTGACTTCTCAAAGGAAGCCGCAGGATAGAAGGGCCTGCCAGGAAGTATCCAGGGTGACGAGGAGCGAAGACTTACAACAAAGGTTCCTCTACCCAGCAAAACTGTCGTGTGGAAGGGCAGAGAAAGTGCTTCTGAGACAAGGAAAAGCTAAAGGGAGCTCGTCACCACCCAACCAGTAGTGGGTGGTGGGATACGGAATGTTAAAGGGTCTTCTTCAAGAAAAAATGACAAAATATAAACATTAAAATGGTAATAAACGCTACCTATCAACAACTGAATCTGAAAAACAAACGAACGAGCAGAACAGAAACACAGTCACAGGCGTGGAGAACGTTTTGACGGGTGCCGACGGGGGTGGGCCCGGGGGCGGGTGCAGGGGCGAGGGGACTAGGCGGCATGACGCGGCAGTGCAGCGCGGCCCCGGGGACGCCGGCGCCGTGCCTCGCGGGGGTGGGGAGAGCAGCCAGAGGGACGGACGCGTGCACGGCGCCCGGACCTGGATGACAGTGTAGCGACTGCCGGGGGGGGGGAACAACTGTGATAAAATAAACAATAAAATTAAAAAGTAAAATTAATAAAAATACAAACACACACGTCCCAGTGAGATTCTAAAACGATACGTGGAGACAGAAAAACAGACCAAGGTGGAGGCAGCAAAGGGTGCATCTGAGCCCCCGCCCGGGGACGGCCCCCACCGCGCCGCCTGGTGGTGGCTGGGTCTGAAGAACACACGCGCACGTGACCACTGGGCACCTGTGACCACGACGGACGTCCGCATCGGTCGTGAGGCCGATGACCCCAAGTTTTCATGTACACAGTATCGCACTTCTAGAGGTATAAACCATTAATCAAAATGGCAATTTTTGAAAAATGAGATTTTTAGGCATTTTATGATACTGTTGAAATACAGCTTAAAAGCAGAGCTAAATATTAGCAACCCATAAGAACTCTGGAACCCACACAGAGGAGAGAGACACGAGCAAAACGTGAACCCGACACAGCCCCCACCGGGTCCGGGTGGGGTCAGGTGCGCACGGGAAGCTGCGTGACCGGCGGCCGCCCCCGCCCCAGCCCCCGTGCGGCCCACTCCTCACCTGGAATCGCGCTCTCGGTGCTTGTCTTTGGATTTCTTTTTCTTCTTTGACTTTTTGTGCTTCTTCACTTTAGGTTCTTCTAAAGGGCCCCGTGGCGAGCTTCTCCAGGCTTTCTTCTCTGCGTAGGCATCACTCCGTTCCACACTGTCGTACCTCCGTTTCCGTGACTTCACTTCTTTGTGTTCATGAAACTGATCGGCGAGGTGACAGCTGCTGCCTTCGGGTCCCAGTGCCGTCTTCTCGTGGGGGTAGTTCTCGTGGGGGGTCTTCTCGTGGGGGTGCTTCTCGTGGGGGGTCTTCTCGTGGGGGTGCTTCTCGTGGGGGTACTTCTCCGGGCAGGGAGGCGGGGCGTGGGGCGGGCCCGCGCGGGGGCTGCTGAAGCGGTGCCGCTCCCGCTCCCTGGCGGCCAGCTCGCAGCCCTTCCGGCCCCGGTAGTAGTCCCTGCACGGCTGGCCGCCATGCTGGCCCAGGCGGTCGTAGTCCCGGTCGCCGTGCAGAGGCCTCCACTCCCACGCCTCCCTCGCCGTGTACGGGGCGTACCTGTCGTGGTAATACCTGCACTTGTCCCACCTCCTCTTGTCTGGGTAGCACCTCTCCCGGCCCCAGGAGTGCTCCTCCGAGTGGCGGTAGGTGCCCCAGCCCTGGTCGGACCGGCCTCTGCTCCGGGAGCGGTGGTGGCGGTGCCGGGCCGGGCCGTGGTGCTGGCAGGGGGAGTGTGGGCCCCCGCCGCCGTGCTCCGGCCTGAAGCGGCCCTGTGGCGCCCGCTCCCGCACGTAGGGGTGCCGCCTCCTGTGGTGATGGTCCTCGGTCTTGCTCCGGCTGTCCCTCGGGCGCTCCCCGCTGGAGGAGCGGTCTCTCCGGTTGCGGTAATGTCCTCGGTCCACTTTTCGGAGGTTGCTGATCTTTTCCTTAACTGGGGAATGATCTTGGACTCTCTGCCCAGCCTCAGCCTCTTCACGCTGGTCCCCGGAACTTTGCTGAGGAGCCCCACCCGCTTCTGAATGGCCTTCCGTGACCTTGTCCAGCGGAGGACAGGGCAGCTCGTCGGCAGGTACCCCCGCGCCCTGGGGCGCCTCTTCCGCTCCTGCCTCCCCGCCCTGGTCTCGGCCACTGGGCACCGCGGGTCCCTGCGCACCGTTGCCCTCGGCCCCTGCCGAGGGGCGCGGGCTCAGCCTCCCCGTGGCTTCCACTGCTGCCGCGTCCTGGGGACTCTCTGATGATGTCCCTGTCACGTCCTGGGCTGCTCTGCTCTGCTCGCCTGTTAAATCCCCGGGCTCACACAGTTGAGGGAGGCGGTCGTCCCCGGTGGTGGTCTTGGCGGCGTCACAGAGGTGGTCGGGGCCGGGCGAAGACCCCCCCGGTTCTGCTGCGGCGGTCTCAGGGACCTCTTCTTTGGTAGACCTGGTGCTGGGGTCTGAGCGCGGCGGAGCCTTCTTGAACTTGCTGCTGGGGCTGGGGACGGCCCCCAGTTTCTCCCGGCCGTCAGGGGCGGGGCTGCCAGGCTCCAGGCCAGCCTCGGGGTGCACGGTCGGGCTTCCCTCGGTTCCGGCTCCGGCGGCACTGCAGCCCGACCAAAACAAAGACACGCGTTAATCATTCACCAGATTGCTTTGCGGGCTTTTGTCATTGACTCACAGGGACAAACGCTTCAAAACATACATCTGTTGGCAACACTACGTATTTTAGGCCTTTGATATCTGGTTAAAACCCAATAGTGAGCTTACCATTTTGGAAACTTGGAATTTTTTCTTTCCTTCATTAAATAAAAATACAAAATTATATACCAAGCCTGTCTCCCATCCCACTTTCTCACAACAATTCTGTGGCTCTGGGCTACCTCTGCTCTCAGGCAGACTTCCAGTTCTTCTTGGAAACTGAGCCTGAGCAGGTCAAAGGACAAGCAGAGGCCCCGGCCCTTCCTCCGGATCCCCTTCTCCCCACACACTGCACGGGCGGCTCCGGGGAGCACTTGCAATCCGTGAGAGCCCCGAACTCTGCCCTCCACTGCTGGGAGGCTTCTGCCGTGTTCGGGGTCGATGACAGCTGCCAGGAAACAGTGGAACCTGACGGCGGCCCCTGTTTCAGCAGGACACTGGGAGCGAGCGCCCCCACGAAGCCAACGCGCACACGCCCTCTCGAGCGCAGCAGGGAGGCTCTCCGGTCGGCCCGTGACGCCAGGCCCCCTCCCCCCACGCCCTGCGGGGACCCCGAGCCCGACGAGGACAGCAGCGGAGAGGGGGGCAGCACGCAGGCCAGAGGGCAGCTGGGAGCGGGTGTGCGAGGCCCACGGCGAGGCCTGGCCCACCCGCACGAGCAGCCCCCTGGCAGCTGTCCGGGCGGGGCCGCTCTGAAGCCTGGGGAGCCCTTCTGGGCTGTCATGATGATGGGGCCCTGCGGGCACTGGGGGGCGGGCACAGGCAGGCCCCATGAGAGTGTCCTGTCCCCCACGTCCCAGTGTCTGCGGGGCTGGGGACCAGTGACGCTGCTAGCGGCAGTTTCCACGGAGATGAGACTCTCCAGGGGCCACCGACTGTGTCAATCTAGAGACAGCCAGGAGTCACTCAGGGCTGCCCACCGCGGGAGCCGACGTCCCCGATGGCGCTGTGTGCTCTGCGGCCTAGCCACACCCGTGCACCCATGCACCCGCACTGGGGCCTCAGGTCCCGCACTCTCACCCGGCCTGGTCATTCACGTGTGGGAATGCATGTGTGTGATAGATTCCTTTCCTTTCCTTCCCATCACAGTTAGGTCAATGTACTGACTTTTTCTTTAAAAATGGAGTGGAAGCAGACCGTCTTATCGGTCGACTTGACTGCGGCGTTCCAGAAGGGGCAAAACGAAGTGTGAGCTGTTTCACAGCCGGGGAGCAGGGCCCCGGCACTGAGCGCGTCTCCACGCACTGGTCACCTCCGGGAGCCAACGCCCGGCACCACCTGCAGACGCGGTTCGTGGTGAGACCTGCCCGGAGCGAGTGGGGGACACTCACGGCCGCGCCAGCGCATTACCTGGCTTCCTCCGGCGAGCCTGTCGTCCCTCTGCTGCCGAGTTTGAAGGTCTCTAAGATTTTGTCTTCTGGGAGCGGTGGCAGAGGAGCAGGCATCAGCTACAATGAAAAACAAGGATGCTTCAACTCGAGCTGCCACCCCATGCCCCCTGAAACCAGCCCAGTGACCTGCCACGAGCAGACGGAGCCGAGGCAAAGCTGCCCCACCCCTCGCCGACACCCACTCACCTTCCCGGGCAGGCCATTTGCCTTGGAAAAGGGGTTTTCTGAGTGCAGAGCAGGCTGGACTTGGCAACTGGCGCCGTCGAACAACAGACCGTTTTCCTTCGGGCCGCCGCCCGCGCTGTCACTAGCACCGTTCAGAGGAGCAGGCTCTCGGAGGGGCTCGTGCGCAGGGGCCTCGTCCCCGTCGGCAGCGTCCTGAGCGGAGGCGCGCGAGCTCTCGGCCGCGCCCAGGCCATTCTCCCGGCCGAGGCCCTTGGCCTCCTCGTCGGACTCCTCCGAGGACTCGGCGCCGTAGGGGACCAGGACGCTGGAGCTCAGCTTGGACTTGCCATTCACCACCGGCTTGGAGCAGGACTCACTCGGGGCCGGCTGCCTGGGGCCCTGGCCGGGCCCCGACGACACGGGAGCAGCGCTCGAGGTAGACTGCATTGCGGAAGAATTGGTAACGGTAGAAGAGGGGGCGGGCCTGGCAGGGCTCTCCAAAGGACTGCCGTGCAGGCTGGGCTGCGACTGACCTTGGCGGACAGGGAACTTGTTGTGAATACTGATTGTGATTTTTTGTTTCTTGGGGTGTTCCGGAATAACTGAGGACCTGCTCACTGACCAGTTCTGAACAGAGGTCGAGGCACTGACGGGGCCAGCCCTGCTGATGCTGGCGTTTCCGTTCGGGCTCGACAGGGAGCTGCTCGGCGTCTCTTTCAGCGGCCCGGTCCCGTTCACGTGGGGCGGGTTCTGCAAGGGAGACCACGGCTGCCGGTGAGCGTCCGTCCGGGGACGACGCCACAGACCAGGACCCACTCTGGCTACGGCCCCCTCCCGTTCGGTCTTTTCTTCTCGGAAACAGCAGGTTCCACACACCTGGGAACACTCCCCTCCTCACCCACGCCAGCCTGCCGTGACCCTTCCACGGGCCACTGTCTTCCGGCAGCTCGTCAGCCAGCCACCACTTTACCCAGAGAACGGCGCCCAGACCAAATTCTTCCTGCCCCAGCAGACACGAGCAGGCCCCTCCAAGCACGGAGTCGCGTGCGTCCTCCGTGGCTGGTCTGCTCGGGAGCCCCGTGCTGCACAGGCAGCAGGACCTGCCAGCCGGCAGGGAACCGCCCCGGAGGGCAGCTGGGAGCCGGCCGAGCGGGCAGACGTGGAGGAGCTGCTTCGCACGGCGCAGCAGGCCCGCCCTGTGCCACCCGCACGACGTCTCTGAACCCTGCTCACGCAGTTACTTTGCTCAAGATCCCAACTACCGCTCCTGTACCCCAGAGGCTGCCAACTGGAGGCCGTGGGGGAAATCTGGTGTAAGGATGAGTTATGTTTGGCCTTTGCGATGTTTCCTTAAACACCTGAATTAGTTCCACCTCAACGTTGGAAGGTTTCACGGGACGGGGGGTGGGGGAGCCTCTGGAGAAACCAGTAACAGCCACCCCTCGACGCAGGGCACGCGCTCTTCCCCGGTGTCCGCGGTCACCCTCCCGAAGCGCCCGGCTGAGCAGCCCAGCGCCCGCCCGGCCCCCAGGGGCGCTGGGCCTGGGGGTCCGCCCCAGCCCGCACCCTGTCGGACGTGCCCGAGCAGCAGCGCACAACTGGGCAACCCGCCGACTCCGAGCCAGAGCGACTCGCGCTGCCAGGCCACTCACAGGTGACCGACCGGGTCACGCCAGCATGTGCACGGTCCGTCCGTGACCTCAGCACACACGCCTGCCTGAACGGGGGGGCTCTGCTCCCCGAAGCCTCAGAGCGTCTGAGATCTGGGCACTTCATCCTTCCTCCCCAAGAGGCCCCCCGGGAGAGCGGCCAAACCCAATGGCCGGCGGACAGAAGAGCGCCACCCTCCTGCGAGGGCGGGCCAGGCCCGACAAAGGCCGTGCTGGCCACAGGGCCACGCTCCTGGAAGCCAGCGTCCGCGAGGGAGCCCCGGTACCCGATGCTGTGCGCATGGCGGTGCAGTGTGGGAGCTACTCTCTCTAGCATCTCAGTGCTCACACCCAGGCCTCCTTCCTGACCACTGTCTCCAGACTCTGAGCTGTGCCGTGTGTTTGAAACATTTTGTAACAAGCGACCTGGATGCACTTTTTTGACGAGAAATTCATCTGAATGTGAGGCCACGGCAACTTGGAGCAGTGCTAGCCTGAGGACTGGAACGGTCCGTGTTTAACGTGAACGGGACGGCCCTGCCCCGCGGTGCGCTACCTTCATCACGTGCGTGGGGAGCTGCGGTCCGATGAACCCTGGCGCGGCCGGCTTGCCGCTGACGACGCGCTGGCTGATCACCGGCCGGGGCGAGGACTGGCCGGGGCTGTGGGCGGGGTGAGTGAGCTCGCCTCCGCCTCCGTTTTTCACATCGTGGGACCTGGGGACAAAGGGAGCCACCTGCTGAGGGCTACTCGGGACAGCTCCTGATGAGAGACGCACTCGCAACCCTCCAACCCTCCGAGAGCAGACGGGTCTGCCGCGGCGGTAGCGCTGCCCACGGGCTCTGCTGCCGGTCGCGGGCAACGCCGGGGCTTCGACCGGCAGACCCCGCGGGCCACTGGGCAGGTGGTGCTCTTAACTGTGTATCCTGAGAATGCCACTATCTGAGGGCTATTTTGCTTTTCAGTTCAACTATATTTCCCTGATGATAAATACATGCGTACCGTTATGGAAAACCTGTAATAACCAGAAAAGTTGGAAAGAAACAAACCCAATGTGTGTCACCGGACCCGCAGAGGAACCTGCTCTTCAGCTTTAGTAGACTGTCCTCCACACTTCAGCCTACACTGTTTTTTTCAGCAGTGTGTAAAAGTTTACACTGCTTTTCCTCCATATACATTGAGCCCTTTCTCGTGTCATCAAGGAAAAAAAACTTTATAAAGATCACTTCTAACAGCTGCATAATATTTCAATATACGGGCATGCTACAATTCATACGCTCATTCTGCTACTGTGGGAAGTTGTAGAAGGATCTTAATTTTTGGCTACTACACACGCATTCCGGGAGCACAGCTCCGATTTTCTCCGAGGCCGCACATCCCCGGCAATGGGGGCAGCGAGTCGGAGCCTGCGGCCGCAGCAGCAGAGAAACGAGCCAGGCGCGGGGTGCTGCCCGGGCTGGACTCGGGGCGGGGGGGCCGCCTGTGCTCAGAGGCTGAGAGGGGCCCCACCCAGGGTCTCCGAGTCCCCTTCCCGAGGCCTCCCTGGCCCCGGCCCCAGTGTGCGGCTGGCAGCGGCAGCGGCAGCAGCCTGCCCTCTCCAGGCACCGCGCTTCCCTTCCTCTGGACGCGTCTCGCGGTGACCCTGCCCGGGAGCTGGAAGCTAGAGCCCACCAGGACCCGCACTCACAAGCGACAGTCCTCCCTCTCCCAGGCAGCGAGCTGCTGCTTCCACAACCACCCGACATGGAGCTTAGACGTGCTGGCGAGGTGGACCGAGAGGACACGCGGACCACGCAGGAGCCCGTCGCCCCCACAGTACCTGATGTAGAAGAGCACGTACGCCTGCTGGCTGAGGACCGCCCTGATGTCGCTGGTGGACACGATGGAGTCGTTCATCTGGTACCAGAGGCCGTTGCTCGCCTGGAAGAGAGCCAACAGAGGGGTGTTCGGTGTGAGCGGGGACCCAGGAAACACCGTCTAGGGAGATGTGAGAGAAGTGAAATTCCACCTTCTCACTGTGCAAGTCCCGCCTTCCCCCCGAGTGCCGGCGCCCCCTACAGCGCGCCGCAGCGAGAGGCCGCAGCGAGAGGCCGCAGCGAGAGGCCCCGGCGCGGCCCCCGCGGCTCACCTTGATGTAGCAGAAGTAGTGGCCCGCGTGGCAGTTGAAGCCGGTGTGCACCAGGACCGCGTACAAGACGTAAACGATGGGCTCCCCGTTCGGTTGAGACATGTATGGCCGAATGTCAAGGTACTCAGGGTATTTCACGTCCTACACGGGAGCGGGAGGAGGCGCAGGGCGCGTCAGTCCTGAAGGCGCGGTCGCTGCCCCGTGCTCAGCGGGGGGTGCTGGGGGGGGGCGGGGCGCCTGCAGAACACGGCACCCCACGACTGTCTGGCAGACGCCTAACTCACTGAACCACATGATTAACTTGGACGTATCTGAACCTAAGCATATTTATTTTTATTGATTGATTGGGGGGGGGACACTGACCCGCTGCTCCCATACGTGCGTCATCAGTGGACTCTTGTATGCGCCCCGACAGGGCATCGAACCCAGAACCTGGGCGTATCGGGCACCATTCTAGCCAACGGAGCTACCCAGCCAGGGCCAGCTGAAATTGCTTATTTTTTATTCCTCACCTAAGGATATTTTGTTATAAAGCTTTGTAAAGCTTTTTATAAAGATTTATTTAAATTTACTTATTTTTAGAGAGAGGGGAAGGAAGAGAGAGAAACATTGGTCAGTTGCCTCCCACACATGCCCTGACCAGGAGTCCGACCCACAGCTACGTCCCAGCCGACTGGGCCGCCCGGCCGGGGCTGAGTCCAAGCCTATCTGATGCAATCCCACTGCAGTCTCTGTTTTCTCGGGACAATTAACGATCCGTATTAAGTGAACTCTTCAAATCCATCACAGGGGACAGTCACAGAAGGACTCTGGACTTTGGCCATCACTTATTTTTATCTTTAATAATTCAGGAACGGATTGCTTAGTTCTCTTGTATGTCACTGGCTTCCGGAACACTTCCAATCTTCGGCAAGCGGAAGGGCGATGGGCAAGTTCAGTGTGCTGCCTGCCGATCCGAAAACCACCAGCCAAGAGACAAGCTGAGGCGCAGGAGCGGCGAGACGCACCGAGGAGGAGTCCTCCTCGGGCTTCGGACGCCACACTCCCCGCGTCCACTCTCCCCTCGCCGACCACGGGGTCCGCGTTTGGACGAGCGCGGCCCATCTCTCCCCCAGAAGGTGTGGCCAGCCGCAGGACACAGCAGCAGGCGCACGCGCAGGGGACGCGGGGCCACCACTGGCTCCACGCTGGGGCGTCGCCTCCCACGACCGGGTGCCGGGGGACTCAGGGAATCAGCCGTTCAGCTAGGCTGGAAAGCTACGACACTTGGCCGGGGAAGGCTCAGTGTAGAAGGCTTCAATGTCTACATACCTTGGCAATTTTTCCACCGGTAAAATTTGCAAAGCGTTTCAGAGAAAGTGTAAGAACGTTGGAGGATCTGTGTATGGTGAATCTCTTTGAAGCTGGAACCATCTTTTTACATCTTGAAGTAAACAGAAACAAGGAGATCAGAAGATTAAGTTTGGGTGGGGTTTGGGTTTTGGGTTTTTGGGGGGGTTTTCTGCATTTTAGTCTTTCCCTTATTATTTCTCTGAAACATTCTAAATCAAGTTTCCAGAAGGATACTAGATGAGAAACACAGCCCCTTCCAACCAACAGTGAAAACACTGAACTTTCAAACGCAGGGAAAGGAGGCTGGGACAGCTCAGGCGCAGAGCCCCGCGGGCCACTGATACTTTTAAATCAGGGCAGCCCAGGTTTCTGTGGATGCGAAACAAATGGAAAACCAGCAGATGTTCAGGGTGGTGTAGTTCGGTGAGAACAAAGCCCCATCGAGACACAAAAGGAGGCAACGCAACGGTCAGCCTGTCCGGGTAGGGGAGCACGGAGAGAAGTAAACCCCTGTGCCTCGGAGAGAAGGAAGCGTCTGCCCCACGGACCAGCGTGTGGCGAGAAGTCACCCAAACCCTGACTGTAAAGTGAACACTGCTTGCAGCAGCAGAAGGGGCTCTGGAAACAGGCTCCCTGGACTTTAGGGGGAAACACGTTAATGAGCAGTCAAACCTGGAGGTGTCTAGCCCATGCCACCCCCAATGCCAGGTAAGAACCGCAGAGGGAAAGAGCCCCGACTGGCCTGGGGGGAGCGGCCGCCCCGCAGTGCACCCCTCACAGGAGAGCGGACGCAAGGCTGCTCTGGGCCCAGACGGGGCACTGAGGCGGCGCCCCCGGGGGCAGCAGCACTGCGGGCGCACATGGGCTTCCCTCGGCCCCCCAGCCGCAAGCCCGCGTCTCCCCATCTGCAGAGGGGAGACACACAGACACGGCGCCCTGGCCCTGGGGGAGAGGCACGCCGCGGCGCCCCCCGGACGGCACGGGCAGTGGAGGGGACCCGGGCACCCCTCCACCCGGGGGCACCCGGGCAGCGCCCGTCGTACTTGCTGCACTTGTAGGAGTTCTCTCCGTCCAGCTGCTCAGGCTTCACAAACTGCTCCAGCGCCTTATTCACACTCTGTGCGGCCTGGGGAGAGAGCGCGCCGGCCTCACCCTGCTGCCGGGGTCAGGGAGACCACGGCGCAGCGGGGCATTTTGGGCCGAAAGAAAATGTCCTTTCATGACGGCGTCCACTTCACACGTGGACGTGGCAAGTTATTTCCCCGCCATTAGAAACCGAGATGCTTACAGTGAACGAAAATATGCAAAGAGGCTGCTCGCTGACTCATCTAAAACGGCGTGAAAATGGGAAAACCAAAAATCTACCAGCAAGGAATCGGGTGTGAAAGCTGCGGTCTCCCCACTCAGCGGATGGCCGCGCCACTGCCACCGCACAGACAGAGGGCCCCAGCAGAACAGAATGGAAACCTCGAGCAGCCGAACATACTTGAGGTGTGACTCCCTTCTCATAACAGCAGGGAACACACTCGGAGCCACTTACACAGTATCAGCGCGGCAGGAAGAGCGCACTCTGCAGGAGGGACCGTGTACACACACACGCACACCCCCACAGCGCTTATCGTGTTTATCATAAATAGGTATCACATTTGAAATCAGAAAAACAAAGCTTAAGAACAAAAAATAAAGAGTTTAGAAAACGCAAGGAGCAAAACAATGCCTAAATAATTACCACCATCTGCTTTGGCTAACACAGGCATCAGAATCTGGCTTTATTGAGTGGAACGTGGAAGGGTAGTAAAAGGCTGTTCTAAGCTTGTTATGATGCCTACTGCAAAGCTTAAATAATCACCTGTAAACAAGGTCTTAGCATGTTAAAAATTTAAATTTGTATTGTCTAACAAATTAGTCTTAATTATAAATGCACTACAAATACAGAAATTACGGAAACTGATTTCTTAAATGTAACTGTCATATAATCCAACTTACCTTTATCTCCAATGTTATATCAAGATATGGATCAAAAGTGTCTGAAACGCCTTTGCAATTTAAACATTTGACTGAAATAAAAACAAAATGCAGAGGATGAGCAAAGTGTAACTATGACGGCAATCCCAACTGTTCAAGTGACAGCACAAAAGTACTATTTCAAACTGGAAAATTTAAACAGGGTAATTTTTCTATCAGGTTGGGCAAAGGATTTCCATCCCACACAGTGGGAACCCGAGCGCCACGGACTCGGCCCCCGCACACCGCTGGTCGGAACGTGGACGAGGCCCCTCTCGGAAGGACCGCAGGGTGGTGTCCGGTCCCGAGCACCCCCCCCCCTAGTATAGAGGTGCTAACACTGGAGATCCACACTGCATGTGCGGTTTTACGTGGACACAGAGACCCGTCGCAAGGGTGTTCCTTGAAGCCTGAATTTTAAGTTTAGTGTGGCGAGGTTAAGTTCTAGGATAACAGTTTTAAAAACCGGAAATGACCAAAGTATCGTTTGACGGGGGACTAGAACAAATGGAACACGGAACACGACGTAACTGGAAGACTGTCTGCTGAAACACTAGGATAAAAATGAGAGAGGGGACACTGGCTGGCTCCCAGCCTGTCCACGCACAGGAAGCTGCTGGCAGGCGCCAGAAGCGGGTGGGGCTGTCTTTGAGAACCGGGCGCCGGCGTCCGGGCTGGACGGAGGCCGTGCCTTCCATTCTGAGCCCTCTCTACTGCTGTGCTTCTTTACAGCCCCAGCCACGTGTCACCTGACTGACTTTCAAGTAGAAGTTTACCTCTGGATCTTAGGTATCCTCCAAATATCTGGCAAACGAGCGTGGTGGCCTGGGTGTGTCTGTCTAACCTGAAACACAGAGAGACGGCGGCATGACAGAGGGCTCCACAGACAGCACGGGCGCTGCAGCCAGCTGCAGAGGCGTGCGCGTCTAGACCAGAGCGGGGGTTCAGGTGGGGGAGCCCCACGGTGGGGAGACGTCAGTGCGCGTGGCGGCCCGAGGACAGTCTGCCAGACCAGGGTGCAGCGGGGGCGGAGCAGGGCGGGACGGAGGAGGGGCTCTAAGTCAAGGCAGGAACTTGGCTCCCTCGTTGGCAGGAGCGTGACAGTGGCTGTGAGGCCTGGCTGGTGAGGGCAGGGGACACGGCACGTCTTCCTGTTCCGCGGGCCACTCGCAGCCCCGCGCTGGAAGCCTGGCGGAGGGCAGCGAGGGCTGCAGTGGGAATGGGACCGAGATTTCCCAGGTGCGTTTGGCAAAAGCAAGTGGGTTAGGACTTGCTGTCTAATTGTTTCTCCTATCTTCCTCTTGCGTCTGCATTTATTTTTTTTATTTATTTGTGAGAGAGAGAGAGAACACACAAATTTGTTGTTTCACTTATTTATGTATTCACTGCCTGCTTCTTGTGTATGGCCTGACCAGGGAACGAACCTGCAACCTTGGTGTATCAGGATGGTGTTCTAGGCAGCCGAGCTACCTGGCCGGGGTTTGGGTCTGAATTTAGGCTTTAAGGGAGAAACGGCAGGAGCTGGTGACAGGGCAGAGCGATAGGGACACGGGGAACGAACACAGGTGTCGGAGACCGGAGGTCGGCAGAGGAGACGCCGGACGCAACGGGAAAGAAGGGGTCAGTTTGGGTCCGCACGAGGACGCCGGCACTGAGAAACCAAACGGGGACAAGGGGATGCTCACGCTCTGCCCCCGTAATCACACAAGTCCCAGTCGGCACAGTGTGCACGCCTTTTCGCGTTACAACCGTTTTAAAACAGCAATGCACGAGACCCGAGGAAAAGGCAGTGCAGAGCCCGAAGGCGAAGCAAACACAACCCCACACCGCAGCAAAAGGCTGCACTGAAGCCCTGCAGACGGAGGCCCCGGGGAGGCGTGACCAAGGTGCTGCGTACTTACTTATTGCTGCCGTTCAGGCACGCTTTTTGCATAGCGTCAACAGTGTACTGAAGGAACTCGTGGGCGTCTTCTTGGTTTCCAAACCGAAAGTGCCTAGCTATACCTACAAAGTTGAAGACGAAGTTTTATCATCACATCACAAGCCCCGGCCATGACCCCCTGAAGTTGCATCTCCCAACAACGTGTTAACCAGAAAACTCCTGGGGATCGTTGTACGAGGGACCAGCACGAACAAGAGTGACCAGAAGAGCTGGGACCTTGTCTCTAGACCGTGAAGAGCCCGCGTGGGCTGGGGCTTCCGAGAGCCCAGGGAGGAGCCCAGAGATGCCGCGGGGCTTTCTCGGGCTGGTAAAACTGTACTTGAGTAAATTCAGCCTTGACTGCGTGGTCTCAGGAACGTGTCCACAATGCTACGTTAGCGCACACATCCGACATCTGGTGCCGATCTCCCTGAGAGAGTCCACGCGGGACATCAACGTCCAAACCTCCCCAAACCCCATCCTTTTCACCCACACGGCGTATTCTCAGTAACATTTCCGTCCTATTTCTAACTGAAGAAACAGTTGCAAGACAAAATTACACTAAGAAAATCAAAAGTATAAATAAAAAATAAATCCTACATAGAACGTTATACATATGAATACATATAAATATATATTAGCTTAAGTCTAGAATTGCCAATATCCTAGCAGTTCTGGCCCACAAAAATAGCGATTTCATGACTCAACCACGCACGTGTGAGGCGTGCACATACACCCTCCTGATGCGTGTGCGCACACACAGCACCGGCAGCTTCTTAAAAATATTTGTATTTCTTAGGAAATAGTAGTCATGCCTGCTGTGTGTGTGCACGTGCGTATAAACAGGGAAAAAAATCGCCGCAGCTAAAATTTTGTTAGGACACACTGATGTTTAAAAAGTGTTTGGGTCGTCTGCTCTGGCCCGTTAATGACCCCAAGGGCCACTGTTACGCCTCCTTAATCTTCAGCTTTTTAGGCAAAAGGGTCATGGTTTGTAAGTGTATATTACCCACCCCTGTGATTACCTAACTAGATATCAGATTAAGAGTTAGGTTTTGTTTTTTCTTTAGTTTGCACGCATGTTTTACTGCAGCTCATCTAGTTACGGTGATGTGGAAGTTTACTGCAAACGCAAAGTGCATAAGATTTCGTGCAACTGGTCAGTACCAGTACAATGCAAGAGAAAAATTTTGAAGTCACCTAAAAATTCAATAGGAAAAGTAAAATTTATCTGCAAATTTGTTAAGCTACGAGTATAAATTTTTCTTTAAAAGTATAATTAACTTTATTTTGGCAATTACTGTCACTGTGTATAGTGTAATATCCCTTATATAAATTAAAACATTCAAAACAATGTAAAGAAACCCATGGGACAATATTAGAGTTAGTATTACGCAGCATAGAACTCCAAATACTGGGGGAGGGATCATAAAATTATCAATGATTTTATTAACAAATTGAGGTTTTAAAATTTTTTAATTTTCTTATATTAAACTGAATACCATCTTCTTTGATATTGTCATCTTTTGCTTTAAGATTTCAAAATCTGTTTATGTAGTAAATGTTATACTGAAAAATGTTATTAATTAAAGGCAACTTTATGTATGATAAAATATGTTTGTTTTTGTAACATACAAGGGGACTCATCTTTTACCAGTTAGGCCACTAAGACTAACTAGCTAGTAACTATTAATGTAAGTAACTACAGGTGATACTTACGCCGCATCTCGTTAATGACAAACATCGGTTTGATGACGTCCCCGGGGTTACTGAGGGCCTGGGTGATGTGTGCCTGCATCGTGCACATCATACAAAACCCTTCTGCGTGGCCTGGAAGGAAACAGAGGGTAATGCTCCAGGTCAGGGACCGCGACTCCGCGTACACACCCGGGGCCGCCAGAAACGAGGGGCCCACCCCTGAAGTGACACGACGGTCGCAGCTGCCACACGCCGTGCGCCGCACCGCACACTGTTCGTTCTTCACCTTCACTTCGTTCTCCCTAAGCCGGGTAAGCGCGTGAGCACCCTGCTCTGTTTAACAAGAGGGAAGACTGAAGCTCAGAGTTAAGAATTTGCCCAGTGTCACACAGTGGTTAGATGACAGGCACACAGTAATCAAATCACACTCTGATTTCAGAGCCCGTGTCCTTAACGACTCTCTCTACTGGGAAAACCAGGATTTCTTTTTCTCGTGCCCCCACGCGTCTCGGACAGTGCAAGACTGTCTCCCACACCGGGACTGGGACCCTCTCTGTAAACGTGAGCTTCGCTGGCCGCGGAGGTGGTCTCTGTGGCTGCGGCTGCTGTTTTTATTTTTCTTTACAACCTTTTAAAAACTTTTATTTACTTTTTAGAGGGAGGGGAAGGGAGGGAGCAATAAGGAGAGAAACATCGATCTGTTGCCTCCCCCACACCCCCAGCTGGGGACCTGGCCCCACAACCCAGGCAAGCGCCCTGGCCAGGAATCAAACTGGGGACCTTCTGGTTCACGGACGGGCCACTGGGCCAGGGCTTGACGACTTTCTAAAGCGCGGGAACCACTCTGAGCTCACGACTGAGTAGGCGACGGGCATCCGTGGGCAGAGGCCCCAGCCGCTGCCACGCCCCCGACACAGCGCAGGACAGCGCAGGGCACGCTCGGCCCGCGCCCACCCACGGCGCTGGCGCCGAGAAACGCCCTCTTACACCAAAGGCTGCCGGGACCTGCCTAGCAAAGCTTTCAAGGTCTCAGAAGGACCCAAACTATGTCCAATTAATGTCACTGTGCCCCAAAACAAAGCTAAAAAATATGTATAGGAATAATCATCTAATTTTTTAAATCTACCACCCAACAACATAAATCCTACACAAAGAGTACAAGGCAAAGAAGAAGGAATGACCAACAATGAGGAGCAATAAACAGAAACAGGCCCAGAAATAACACAGATAAGAGGATCAAAAGACAAGGACGTTTAGGAGGACATGATACATGTGTTTACATGTTCAAGGACGCATAAAAGAAGAGCATGTCAGGAAGACATATGGAAAAAGGTCCAAATCTCGTTTACAAGTGAGAAGCACAACTTCTGAGGAGAGAACCACACCAGACGCACCAGCAGACAGTGTCCGTCAGTGTGGGGACCGCACGGCGCGAGCCCCCCACAGGGGAGCCCCGAGGGGAACGAGAGGCGTAAACCACCACCAGCGGAAGGACGCGAGCGTCGGGGCTGCGGCCGCCCCTGACGGGCACGTGGCCAGAGTGTCTCGAGGGCTGACGGCCGTCCGCAGAGGCGCGGCGCAAAGGAGTGTCCGCGGTGACAGGCGGCCTTGTGTCCCGACTTGGGGGGTGGTTACACGGATCTGTGCCTGTGTTAGAGCTCACAGAACGGCACACCAAAAAAGTTGACTTTATTTTACGTGTAAGACATTTTTTTAATAACTGAAAGTTATACCAATTTGAAACAGTGAACCACACAGGTAAGAACCTGAAGACACCCCAAAGAAACGAAGAAAACTACCCGCAGGACGGACTGTTCTGTCCAGCTGCTTAGAGCAGCGATAAAACCCTCCACAGCAGGCAGGAACCGAACACGAGCACGTGGGACACACGTAACACGGACAGCGGCTTCTGCTCAGAAGCAGCACCAGCCGGGGCGGGCGTCACCAGCGTCTCTGAAGCACGAGAAGCGCCAGCACAGAACTCTGTGCACCGGGAGGACATCTCCCGCGGAGACCGGACTCCCACTCCCGGGGAGACAGGGCACAGGGGCTTCCCCACCCCGCCCTCTCCATGCCACGAGCCGCCCAGACACGCGTGTGAACGAACGTGAGGCCGAGACAGAGAGGAGAGAGGAGCCAGCGGCCTCAGGACCCAAGGAGCGAGCGGGGTGAGCGCCCGGGTTTTCTCTGTGCCTCGAGTACCCCAGACCTGATGCGCCAGAGGCCCGAAGCCCACGGACGCCGCACAGATGGAAGGACACCCCAGAGCAGGCTTGTTTTCTCCGGCCGCAGGACCAGGGCGGGCGGCGCGGCGAGAGAGGACGTGCAGACGGCAGCCCCTCGGCTCTGGGCAGACACCCCAGGGACGGTGGCCCACTCCTCCGCGCGCCAGCCAAGGGCCAGTCAGGAGCCGGGACGTGCACTTGCAAGGCCGCAAAGGGACGTCGCAACCCACCCACTGAGGCGGTGTCAGCGAAGGTGGGTTAGAAGCTGGGACCTCCATTCACGCTGGGTGACAACCACACCCCCATCCCACCCGTCGGGGAAGGTCAAGTAAGCAGCCGAGACTCCCACCCCCACCCAGCGGGAACAGGGAGCCCCGACTGCCCGTCCCGGCTGCCCACCACGGAGGCCGGGTGGGGAACTGGACCACACCCGCCCTACAGTGTCAGTCAGGGGTGTCGGAGAAAGACAGCTAAAGCACACATTCGGGGAGATCCGGTGTCTTACCATGTAACACAGATGTGTCCAGGTTTCAACCAAAGATCACTCCTCATACTAAGAATTTCTCAAACTGAGTCTAAAAGACAGTGAATACCATGGCTGGTGTGGCTCAGTGGACTGAGCACTGGACTTTGAACGAAAGGGTCACTGGTTGGATTCCCAGTCAGGGCACGCGCCTGGGTTGTGGGCCAGGTCCCCAGTAGGGGGCGTGCGAGAGGCAACCACACACTGATGTTTCTCTCCCTCTTTTTCTCCCTCCCCTCCCTTCTTAAAAAAATAAGTAAAATCTTTTAAAATAAGTAAATAAATATGTACGCTTTACTGTGTATCAATGATACCTCAATAAAGCGGAAAAATGGAGAGAAGAGAAAACTACCAACAGCATAAAAGACAAGCGCCTAATTCTGGACACCGGGGGCATCTGAATTTTCACCCTGTCGTCTCTCCTGATGTCCAGGTGCCAGTGCTGGGTTTCCATCCACACCCTGCTCATTAAGCACAACAGTGATAGGAAAGCTGTCTGTGGGGAATGAATTATGGACTCAGAAAGGCAGAAAATGCAGGCAAACAGAACATTCATTCTGTAATTTAAAACCCTCTGGCACAACAAACAACTCTAGGCAGTGAGACTCTTGGTGATTTTCCTCTGGTTTCTTTAAATTTTTCTGTACTTTCCAAATTCTTTATAAGCGTTATTTTGCTCTTTGGGAGGAAAACAGCTTTAAAAGAACCAGTTTAGATTCTCCATTCAGTAATGAACTATTCAAAAAGAAACCAAGGGGCTTTTTTTCACCCTGATAATTAATGAACAGCCACCTGAACATGCATATGCAAATGTGAGGCTTAATGTAGATCAAAGAACAGGGAGATTTCCTTTATGAAGGACGAAGGATATTTGCAATCTATGTGTAAGGTCAAAACCTGAAACAATGGGTCTGCTCTGAATTCGGAACTTCACTAGCCATCCGCTGAGCTCGCTTCCACCTAATTATGGGCCCTAACACCTCTGTAAGTTTGGGCTGATTTCCTGCCCTTCAGGCCGAAAACCGAGCTCACATGCTGACGGGAAAGTCCTGTGTGAGCTTCCAGGAGGTGGGGGGCAGTAATGAGAGGGCCTTTCCACTGACTTTTCTTTAAGAACGTTTAGTTATTTTTATTTAATCTGGATTGTATTTTTCCCCATTACCATTCCACTAGGGCTCAAGAGCCTGTAAGAGAGTCGAGCCTTACAACCAGGGGCATGTGCCAGAAGAGGCGGGACTTTTAACCCTGCCTGTCCCTAGCTGCTGGTGGCAGACATTTATGTCACATCTTGTAGCAAGCACAGAAAGCCTAGCAGAGAGTTCAGAAATGCCAAATGCGATAAAATGCTTCTTTTTGGGTAACTTCACAGGTCAAATTAGGTGCCCAGTGCTTCGCACACACCCTGAACACAAATCCTAAAAGAGTCTTCCTGGACGGCTTCTGAAAGAGTAAGTCAGATTCTTAGGGACCACAGAAATCTTGGCTTAATTCCTCAATTTCATTTCAGAGGGGAAAAAAGACAGGCAGGCTGGTGCACCGCAACACTACACACGTAACGTGACGCGGACCACTCACAGGTCTTGGAGTGCTCGTGGGACAGCATGTAGTTGGCGAGGGGCGGCGTGTAGGTCAGGCACTGCAGCGCGGCGTTGGCGAAGCAGGTGTTGCCCAGGTTCTGCAGCCCGGCGCCCACTCGGTGCGTCTGCTGCCACTTCAGGCAAATCTTCTCGGACGGGAAGAGAACTTTCTGCGGAGGAGCAATGCCATCCCCTAGGGCTAGACAAGTACAGAACAAACACTGAAAAACAAAGTTTTGTGTGCTTTTTGAAGCCAAATAAATAAATACCAGTACCTCGAACCTGAATCTGTTCAAGATTCTAAATCTTATTAACAGCTAACCAGAAATACAGAGGGAAAGGGACACTTTTAAAGACAGAACTCAGAAAACAAAAAAAGCAAGTAAGTAAAAATGGGGGGGAAGACACCAAAAAAAATCCTCCAAACAAAAAAAAGCAAATAATAAATATTTTTTTAAAAAAGGAAGAGAACGAAGGCAGGCCTGGGAATGAGGGAACTCTGGCCCGAGCTCAGCGGGCTGGGACATCTCGGTGTGCCCAGGCTGCGGGTCCCACACCCCCTCGGGGCACACGCAGGGAGCGACCAGCGAATGTATAAACGGGCGGGACGGCAAACCGACGTTTCTCTCTCCCTGCCCTCTCCCTCTCTAAAAAAGTCAATAAATAAGAATGTAAGGACAAAAATGAGGGACACCGAATGATTTGGCTTCTTCAATAAACTGCAAGGACAATGGGGCAGGTGTGACAGATTAAAAGAAACTTAGAAAAAAGACACAAAACGCCAAGTGCAGACCTCGTCTGGGTGTTCATGTCGGCAGTCAGCTGTTAAAAAAAAACGCATGACAACCAGGGAAAATTTAATGTTGACTGGATTTTTAATATACAAAATGTTTTAATCTTTAGAAAGAATTTAGATCCACATACTAAAACATTTACAGACAAAACATGAAGTCTTGGACTTTCTTTACGTGATGGGGAGAGGGGAGGAAGAAGCGGGTGGAGGTGCAGGTGGCCGTGAGTTGACAAATGTCGAAGTTGACTGATGGGGACATGAGGATTCATTATAATTACTCTTTTTATATCTATAAAATTTTTCACAATAAACATTTTAAAAAACAGCCCTGGCTGGTGTGGCTCAGGGGTTTTTGAGTGCGGGTCTGCAAACCGAAAGGTCGCTGGTTCGATTCCCAGTCAGGGCACGTGCCTGGGTTGTGGGCCAGGTCCCCAGTAGGGAAGCATGCGAGAGGCAACCAATCAGTGTATCTCTGGCATATCTATGTTTCTCTCTCTCCCCTCCTATCCCCTCTCTCTAAAAATAAATAAAATCTTAAAAAAAGGAAAAGAAGCTGCTGTAAAGAAAATAAAATATTTTTAAAAATAAATAACACCACCATCAATAGAAAGTGCAGGGTGAGCCGATTCTCTGTAATATTTGCTCTGGACACTTATACTCAGTGCTGCCCCCCCATCTCCTGCCCTGGGTCCCCCATCTCCTGCCTGGGGTCTGCAGCGTCTACTGCAGGTGGCGGTGGTGTCGTCCCCATTTGACCAGTCAGACGACAGGCTGTGAACTCGGGCTGCTGGGCACCACAGTGCACCCTTCTATGTATTGTATCTATAGTCTTAAAAAGATTTTTATCTATTTTTAAGACCTATAAACAAATCGTTAATGGCCGTATTCTCATAAAACTCAGGTGAAGCTCAAAAAACAACTTACTTAGGATAGCTCATGATCACCTATGGCAAGACAACTTTTTCAAAAGTCTGCCGGTCCCTCGGTACTACCGAGGCCTGAGATGCCCCACAGGTGGGTCTCTACTTTAACAGAGATGCTCATGAACGTATAAGGACTCACAGGTAAGCTTCAGCTCGGTGGGGGATGGAGGGCAACACCAGGAAGAGAGAAATGAGTCCCGGAGAGTAGGACAAAGGCCCGCGAAAGGGCAGGGTGAGGGCTGTAAGCTAGGTCCTAAGTGAGCGGGGCAGCCCCAGCAGCTGCAGCCAGTGAACGGACGTCCTGTAGGAGAGTCTGGCTGGTGAAGGCCTTACAACCTCCACGTGTAACAATCAATTAAATGGTTTGTTTTTCAATAGGAACCCCCCTCCCCTGCCCAAAACACCTTTATCGAATCTCACCACTCACTCCCACACCACAGCAGCACATTTCCTGAAAAAACTCAAGACAACAAGGGCCGAGTTATTCTACGCCAAGCAATGTTCTAAGTAGGAACTAACCTATTTTCTTTGCATTTCAAAGCTTCCACATCCAAAAGTCTCAGAAAAGTGCCAACTAAAGAGTCAGCGTCTTATTTATCTGGATGAGTTCTAACCAATGTTAGTTCTAACATCGACATTATCTGCTCTTTAAAAGAGCTTTATTCCCATGGATGAGTATAACTCGGAAAAAAACAACAGTTATTTTTGAAAACATCTTTACATCTTTAAAGGACAGACATCTACTTAGGAAACTATAGTTAATTGGCAGCTTAACAAAATGCTTGCCCATCTCAGTTCAGTTCTCACCAAGATGAAGCTTACTCTTCAACAAATCAGAAATAAGAGAACCATGAAGACAGTAACCACAGGTAATCTGCCTCGTTGTGATACACGTTAACCACGGGCAAGTGGCAGGGGAAAGCGAAGTCAGTCACAACAGAGCTCGCAGCTCTGCCAGCCACGCAGGCGGCACTGTATCTCGCAAAGTAAGCCACCCCTGCAACTACCAACCCACTGACAGCATGCACACGGGCGTTTCTTGGAGTGGTTCTGTCTTTGACAAAGATACCTTGATCCTTTTGTGGTGATGGTTTTGATTTATCAGGTACAGATGAACTTGAATAAACTACAGCACCAGGTACTGGTCCTAAAGAAAGCGTGTGATTTGAAACATCGTTCAACGAAGACACAGCACCCCAGCCGGCAGGCCCTGCATCCATGTCTCCGGGTGAGACCGCCTCAGAGCTGCCGGGCGGATTCTGATAGGGCGATGGGTCTGAGGATTCAGAGGCTTTGTCAACTATGGTCATTGTTCAACTCTGCAAAAGACAAAAAACATGCACTCGTTTCAGAAGATTAGAAAAGCAATCTACTTATTCTACCGTTAGACCTCGGAAAGTTATTCAAGCCATTTTTAATTATTTTCAAACAAATTATCCAAATATAAAAGCAATTCTATTTTTTCACTTTGTAATCATTTCCTTGGGACATTTAGTATTGTGCTACTGTGAACATAACCATTTTTAATTATAAAAACTCCAGTGGAATATTTGATTATATCTTGTCATTCTATTCCATGCATCTTAAATGTCTGGTATTCCAATTTATAATCAGGTGCCTCAATTTCCAATTGTATACATTTACCAAATACCCATATATTTTTCTATTGCCTAAAACTACAATGTGAAATGCCCTAATGCATGTGACTCACTTTTCAATCCATACGTAATTCCTCAGGGAAAAGCCTCAACTACACAAGGAGAAAATCTAGCTTTAATTCTGAGCATAAAGTCCAAAAGATGTTTGAAAATACTCTGCATTTTTTAATGTATGGAAGTCTCACCTTCGAAGCACATTTCTTCTGAAGAAACTTGTTTATTTGGTATATATGACTTTTTAAGTGAATCATATAAGACACTACTGACATCAAACTCGAACACAAATACATGTTATAAAAGTACTTAATTATAATTTTCTAAGTCCTGTCTTAAAGTCTTAGGGCTACCACTAATCGAACATCTTCTATGTACTGGGCATTGTGTTAATTGCTGAACACACACTAACTTATTTCGTTTTCATAATGGACCTACGAGAGACTGGACAGAACCCACAGGGTCTGTAAAAGGCACCAATGAGGCCTGGCTGGTGTAGCTCAGTGGATTGAGCGCCATCCCGCGAACGGAAAGGGTTGCAGGTTCTATCCCCAGACCCGGGCCCGTGCATGGGCTGCGAGTCCGGTCCCCAGTGGGCCGTGTGCGAGAGGCAGCCACGCGGTGATGTTTCCCCCACTCTCTCTCCCTCCCTTTTCCTGTCTAAAAAGAAATAAAATCTTTTAAAACATTAAAATAAAATAAACGCACCAATTATAATCCAAACTAGTCAGCACCTGGGACCAGGCATCAGGTCTAACATGCCCAGCTGGGTTCCTCCAACCTGGTCAATAGACTACTTTCAAGAACCTCTTTGAGTCCTGGCTGGTTTGGCTCAATGGATTGCGTAATGGCCTATGAACCAAAGAGTCACTGGTTCTATTCCCAGTCAGGGCACATGCCTAGGTTGAGGGCCAGGTCCCCAGTGGAAGGCATGTGAGAGGTAACCACACACTGATGTTCCTCTCCCTCTCTTTCTCCTTCCCTTCCCCTCTAAAAATTAATTTTTTTTAAGAAAAATGTTTCTGAAATTGCCCCGTGGCAACCAGATCTGGTGTGCTGCTTTGTAGATAACCTTTCAGGTGTGCTCTGACCACCGCCATCACAACGTCCTCCGGACACCTGGCCTTGGCACTGACCTAGGAGCCTCCGAAAGCACCCCCGTGGGCCATCCCCACCTCCTCCCTCTGGGCTCTGCCCATGCTGTTCCTTCTTACCAAACTCTCCTCCATCCTCCCACCTCCAGCCTGTGAACCCTTCTCGCACTCCGTTTACAACTCATTTCCTCTGGGATGCTTCCCTTGACAACCTCCTCCCCCAGGACGGGGCCACAACCCTGCCCCAGGCTCCTCAGCACCCTGTGCTGGTTTACAGGGCAGCCCTTCACGCCCATTACTGCAGAGCAGGTTCTTGGGCTGCCCTCCGTCCCATTCCCATTCGCCCCTGACCTCACGTGCAGAAAGCTTCCCGTTCAGGTGCTGGGCAAATGAATGAATTCTGCAGATAGGAAGTAACCAGTGTTTCCTGTAGCACCAGTTTGTGCTGAGTGATTTATATACCATTCAAGGCTTTAAAAATTCTGAAATAGAAATAGCTTTTAAAACTTACTTTAAAAATATTCAATACAGTTAAGAGGATTGTAAATACACATGCATATGCCACCTCCACAAATGTTACAACGCACTGTCTTCTCGCAGTGAGATTTTGTTTTAAGCCTCAAAATTTTGTTGTAATTTTTAATTAAGGCACGATTACCTACCCTCAAATAGTATAACTTCAAGAAAACTTTTGGAATCTTATGTAAAAACAGAAGCGTAAAGGTTATTTAGATCTTAATAAAGTAAAAACTGAACTGAAATTTTAAGTCAATCTCAGATATATAATTCAAATAAAACTGACAGTTTTCTCATCAAAGAGTCCAAAGAAATCATGAAGCACTATGAAGACAAGAGTAAGAAAACGAAAGAGGAAGAAGGGGAGGAGGAGGGAAAGGATGAAAGCCAAAACAGCAATGAGGAAAGGTTAATCTAGCCTTATTTACAATGGAGTTAAATAGCAAAAAAAAAAACAAAAACAAACAAAAAACCAAAACCCTTGATTTTCCCCGGATACACATCCCTTCAGGACAATCATTAACAAATGACCAAATAAAACCATTTTACTGGCTCAACTGCTTGTTTTGAGGTGAGGGAGGGGTTTTTATGTGGAAAAAAAAATTAAGGAATGCCTACAACTCGGTCATCAATAACTACACAGTGTTTTGATTTTGGGAAGACAAACCAAAACCATCCATTCATCTTCATTTGCACATTCAGGCAATGAATTCTTACCCTAAAACCATGAGGCATGAAACGGAATTCCATCTGCTGCAGAGATAAAGCCCTTCTAGGGGCCAAGCAACGCTGTGCAGAAGCTAGGCTGCATACCCTTAGAGGTTCTTGACTCCTAGCAAAGCGCTGCAACATCACTGTTATAAATCTCGGGACTTCTAAGCAGCTACTCCAGTGAAAAGTTAACATTTCTCTCAACATGTCCTAGTGATATACAAAAAGTTACAAAAGCATGTTTGGAAAAAGCCAAGTACTACATGAATCAGGCTGAACGTGTGTGGAAGGAGGAGACAAACTGACTTCACGAACGTTTCCTCTGCTCTTATTCAAAAGTCTTAAAACTCGCAGCCTCTTACATGGTACTTCCCCCTTAGCATCTCTGCCAAATGACAGAATGCTTTTTTTTTCTTTTTCATAAGTATGCGCTATTTAAACATTGGGGCACACCACATACATTGAGGTAGTACCAAAACATGTAAAAAGAAACGGTTACACTCTGCTACTTCCTAAACAATGTAATCCATCTTCTTGAACAAGCTTTAGGAAGACACAACCTTGATTTTACTTATTTTTAAGAAGACAAAACAATTAAGCCTTACACCTTTACAGAACAGTGTGGACTTGATTCAAATGACACAGAAAAGAAAGTGAAACTGACCTTAAATAAAAACAAATAAGTGAAACCGATTACTCCTATCCCCTAATGCACTTTGAATGAAGAATGCAGTCAAAAGAGTAGAACTGTTTCAAATTTACAAGTCTTAAAAATATTGAGTCGCCACAAAAACGTATGTGAACCTATAACGCTGCTGTTATCTAGAAAAAGAGGCGTTAACTAGTTTTTCAACCAGTTTCGCTGTTACTTTAGTGTACTCACTTTAAAATAACCAACGTGTTTTCCCACACACAAGCAAGCCCTGCGGCCTTTCTGAATATAAAAGAGCTATTCAACAAAAGTAATCTCGACTGCATTCATTATAACGAGGTTAAAGTCCTACGTTGTAAAACTTCGTTCCCGTCGAATCTTCATTTCAAACATCTGAAACTGATCTCCTCCTCCCCGACCCCCTCCAGGTAAGCGGGCTCTTCCTGTCCCGAAGATAAAGAACACGACCCGGGGACACACGCTTCGGGGGACGCGCTGCGGGCCGCCGGCCCCTCCTCTCCCGCTGTGCCCGCACCGCTCGGCGGCCGGCGTGAGGGACTCGGACGCCCGGCGGAGGAGCCAGGTGGACGGCCCCGCGAGGGCGGACCGGTGCGGCCGGCGGCCCGCCGAGGGGCGCCCGGGTGGGAAAGTTTCTCTCTTTTCGGGTGGAATGGGGGCGGGGAAGCGAGTCCCGGGCTCCGAGGGGCGCTCGGGGGCGGGAGGCAGCAGCCACGCGGGGGGCGGGGGGCGGCCGGGGCACGCCGGGCTCCGCGGCCGGCACACGCCCACCCCAGCAGTCCTGCGCGGGCCAGGCCGCCCCGGAGACGCCCGCCGGGCCCGGCCCCCGGGCCGAGGGGGCGGACTGGGGCCGGGTGGGGGTGGGAGGGCAGTGTCCATGGCAACCAGGGGGTCCGGCCTCCCGGCGCAGCCCGGCTCTCCTGGCACCCCACAGCCGCGGCCGCCGCCCCCTCCCCAGCGGCCTGGCTCGGCCGGCGGGGACGGCGCTGCCACCGGTGCGGCGGGGTCCCGGGCGGCCCGCAGCGGCGGAGGACACGGCGGGCGAGGGGCCGCGCCAGCCCCCGGCGGGCCGCGCCGGCAGAGGGGCGGCCGGGCCAGCCACGGCCGAGGCGAGCGGAGCGCTCTGCGGGCCCCACGCCGGCCAGCAGCGGGCGAAAAGGAGGCGGGAGCTTACCTGACCCGGCTCGGCGCTCGCTCCATCCCCCTCGGCCGCCGCCGCCGCCGCCGCCGCCGCCGCACACAGCCCAGCCGCCCGGCGGGGGACAATGACGTGCCTCCATCCGGGCACCGCCGCCGCCGCCTCCGGGTCAGCGCCGCGTCCGCAGCGCCCCGCCGGGCCGCCAGGGGGCGCGCCAAGGCTGGGTCCGCACGCGCCGCCGCCCAGGGGCCGTCGCACAAGAGGCGCGGCGCGCAGTTAACGGGCCGGGCGAGCGCGGGAGGGGCCGTCGCCAAAGCGCCGCGGGCGTAGGCCGGGGCGCGCGCGTCACTGGAGCGCGGGGGGGGGGCCGGAGGACCGCGCTGATTGGCGGGCCGAGGCCGGGTGAGGTCCTTGCCCGGAGCGGCCGGCCGCGGCCGCGGGGCCCTAGGGCAGACGGGTGGTAACCCTTGCGTCTGCTCCGGGGTCTGGCCCGCGCGGGTGCACGCCGGGCGGGCCGCCTGGGCCTCCAAAACGGACACGAATCCGGGGAAACCTCCCTCGTGCGCTTCTCCGCTACGCCCGCGGCGCTCGTCCCTCGCCCACGCCGGCCCCAGCGGCGTGCCCGCAGGCCGTCAGACTCCACAAATTGTGGTACAGGAAGCGGTGGATATTACACCTGAGCCCAGAAAAGGGCCGAGCCATCGCTGTCATCTCGGATCCGAGCATTCCCAGTCTTTGGGGACACCTAGACCAGCGCTGGTTCCCGAGGGCCAGATCCATACTTCCTGCTGCTTATCGGATATCTGCACCGCGAGGTCCAACAGAGAACGAAGTGATTCGTCCGTGCATCTCCCCTCCCAAGACCCTGCTCCTCCGTTTTGGGTTCCCTGCTTTGATTAAGGACGTGGCCCTCTCTTGCTCCGACCTGAGTTCCTCTCTCTCCCGCCTCCGGCGCGTAATCCCTAACACCAAGTCACACCCGCCCCGCCTGCCCAGGGGCTGTGATCCTGACCCTGCACCCCGAGGCGACCTTTCTCCTCTCGCCACGCCCATTCGCACGATCTGCTCCCCGGCGCACTCCCGGTCGACCTTCATAACACAGGATGAAGGTTTCAGAAACAAGCCACAAGTAGCTCTGCTCCTCAGAGCCTGAAGCCACTTGTTTGGCCCCCAGAAAAGTCTAAAACTCCTTCGCCTGGCAGTGAAAGCTCCACTTCCCTCTCTTATGTGTTCCAGCCATGACGAACTTTACCCAACAACCACCCCATTCCTACATCTGCTTATAGAAATCCTACCCGGGGCCTCTTCCCTGGAGGCGTAAAATCAGGATCTTGCGACTCCCCCTACAGATTGCTTATATCTTATGGTAGCATTTATTTAAAGCTACTAA